ACCTCTCTCTCTCTCTACCTCTTTACCTCTCCTCCTCTGTGTAACTCTTTCAAATAAAATTTTAAAAATGTTTTAAAAAAAAAGCTCATGGAGGGGCCAGCATTGTGGCACCATGGGTTAAGCTGCTGGCAACAACCACATGGGAACACCAATGCAAATCCTGGCTGCTTCTTTTTTTTTTTTTTTTTTTGAAGGCAGAGTGGACAGTGAGAGAGAGAGAGAGAGAAAGGTCTTCCTTTTACTGTTGGTTCACCCTCCAATGGTCGCCGTGGCCAGTGCGCTGCAGCCGGCACATCATGCTGATCCAAAGGCAGGAGCCAGGTGCTTTTCCTGGTCTCCCATGCGGGTGCAGGGCCCAAGGACTTGGGCCATCCTCCACTGCACTCCCGGGCCACAGCAGAGAGCTGGCCTGGAAGAGGGGCAACCGGGACAGAATTCGGCGCCCCGACCGGGACTAGAACCCGGTGTGCCGGTGCCGCAAGGCAGAGGATTAGCCTATTGAGCCACAGCGCCGGCCCGCTGCTTCAATTCCTATCCAGCTCTATGCTAATGTGCCTGGGAAAGCAGAAGATGGACCAAGTGGTTGGATCCCTTTTACCCATGTGGAAGACCTAGATGAAGTTCCTGACTCTGTTTTAGCTTGGCTGAGTCACTTAGAGAACGATCTAGCAAATGGAAGGTCGATTTCTCTCTCTCTTTAACTCTGCCTTTCAAATAAATACACAAACCTTTAAAAAAAAGTTTATGAAGGGGAGGGTGGTATGTCACAGCAGATTAAGCTGCTACTTGCAGGTCCATATCTTGAATCAGAGTACCAGCTCCAGTCCTAGCTACCCTGCTTCTGATCCAGCTTCCTGGGAAGGCAGTAGATGATAACGCAAGTACTTTGGTCCCTGCCATCCACTTAAGAGACCAGTATAGAGTTCCAGGTTCCTGGCTTCAGCATGGCCCACCCTCGGCTCCTGCAGACATTTAGGAAGTAAACCATATATACATATGCCTTCCAAATAAATATTCTTTTTAAAGTTCATGGAAAATTTTTATAAAGAATACTTTTTCAGGGCTGGCACTGTGGTGTAGCAGGTAAAGCCACCACCTGCAGTGCCAACAGCCCATTTGGGCACTGGTTTGAGTCCCAGCTGCTCCACTTCCTATGCAACTCTCTGCTATGGCTTGGGAAAATGGTCCAAGGCCTTGGGCCCCTGCAACCGTGTGGGAGACCCAGAGGAAGCTCCTGGCTCCTGGCTGCGGATCAACGTAGTTCTGGCCGTTGGGGACAACTGAGGAGTGAACTAACAGAAGGAAGACCTCTCTCTCTCTCTGTCTCTCCCCATTTAAACAAATCTTAAAAAACATTTTTTTTCATTAAAATATCTCAAAAGAAATAAAATTACTTATACAAACCAATCTCAAAAGATAATAAACATGAGCATTTTGGTGTATTTACATCAGTAATTTTAACTTATTAAGAAAATAAATCGAAGAGATTATATGTACAAGGAGAAAAAAAAGTAAATAATCAATATATCAAAGGGTTTGTTAAAAATTACTTACAAATAACTTAAATAACTTTAGGCCATTCTCTTTGACAAAAGACAAGGGCTCTCAATACATACTAGCATGGCCCAAGCACAAGAGAAATCATAAACCCACTCTAACTCCATCGGCCCACCTCTCCCCTTAAGCAGAATCTAAAGGTGATCAAATACAGAAAACTCTAATTTTGATCTCGTTATACAGTCAAAAAATAGCATGCCTGAGTGGGAAGACATAATTCCAAGGTGGGCCCTTGGTTGGCATCTAGGAATTTCATTACTAAACACAAATGCACCCTAACAGGAAACTTTCCCTAACTGTGCCTACACTATAAAAATAAAGATGGATCCTGCTGAACATCTGCTTTCTGTGAGTATGGAAGTTGGGCTAAGCAGAACATGCCTACAAGACTAACCCACAATAAAAAACCCAGAGTGTTGATTCTCTAATGGGCTTCCCTAGCAGTAACATAACACATGCATGGTAAAATTTTGATTACTGCAGAAAAATGTACTATCTGACTACTGATGGGAGGGAGAGGGCATAAGGAAGCCTGCACAGTGATTCCTCCCCACTAAACCTTGTCTTTTTCCTTAATGCTAACCTAGAAAGACTGCATACGCTCATTTCCTTATTATAATCAATCTTAGCTGTGAATACCATTACATGCTCAGTCAACACAGCTACTTTTTTATATTGTTACCAAGTCATAGAGACAATGTTTTTTTTCTCCAAGATTCAAAACTAACTTTCATAACTCAAATTAAGTACTACACATTTGAGATTTCTGGTTATAATTCTTCCCCCTGTCCTTTCTATTAGTGTATTAGAACTGTCCATAGGAGCCCACTTTTTTTAATAAAAGATTCATTTATTATGAGTTAGAGAGATACAGAGGGAGAAAGAACGAAAGTCTTCCAACCATTGGTTCACTTCCAAAAATGGGTGTGCTTTTTGGTGCAGCGGGTTAAACCATAAGATGGCCCACGTTCTTGGGCCCTGCACCTCATGGGAGACCAGGAGAAGCACCTGGCTCCTGCCTTCGGATCAGCGCGGTGCGCCATCCGCAGCGCGCCGGCCGTGGCGGCCATTGGAGGGTGAACCAACGGCAAAGGAAGACCTTTCTCTCTATCTCTCTCTCTCTCACTGTCCACTCTGCTGGTCAAAAAAAAAAAAAGAAAAAGATGAGCTGCGAGGTCATTAATCACACTTGATATACGAATAGAAAGGTAAGCAGCCTCTAACACGTCATTTAATTTTTCCCCTTATTTTGCTTATTTTCATCTCCTTGAAAGGCAGAGAGCAACAGAGAGAGAGAGAATCTTCCATCTGCTGGTTCGCTTCCCAAATGCCTCAAACAGCCAGGGTCGGATCAGAATTAAGCCAGAAGCCTATACTCCATCTAAATCTCCCATGAGGGCAGCATGGACCCAAGTACTTCAGCCATCATCTGCTGCCTTCCTAGGATGTTTCAGCAGGAAGCTGGATGGGAAGCAGATGAGCTGCTGGGACTCAAATCAGCACACCAAAATGGAATATGAGCAACCCAAGAGTCAACTTCTTAACCTGCTGAGCCACAACACTCACTCCTAATTCCTTCCTTCCTTGCTTCCTTCCTTCCTTTTCTTGCTTAAGAATTATTTGAAAGGCAGAGTTATAGAGAGAGAGAGAAAGAAAGAGAGAGACAGAGAGAAAGGTCTTCTATCAAATGGTTCACTACCCAAATGGCTGCATCGGCTGAGGTTGGGCAAGATGGAAGCCAGGAGCCAGGAGATTCAGCCGGGTCACCCACATGGGCGGCAGGGGCTCAAATACTTGGGCCATCTTCTGCTGTGTTCCCAGACACATACATTATCAAGGGTCTGGATTGAAGCAGAGCAAGCAGGATTCAAACTGGAGCTCATATGGGATATTGTTGTACGCAACAGCGTAACCCACTGAGCCATAATGCTAGTCCCAAACGCTAATATCTTAGTTTTCTACAAGAAATATATCCATCAATGGAATCAGGATCTTTGGTTGAAGAGTATTTTAATTTCCTACAACCAAATTATGATCATAAAATTTTAATCAGCACAAAATGAGGACAGTTGGCAAAATTATAATTAGATCAAGTAAGTGCTCAATAACACCAATGGCAGCTAAAAAATCAAGAACTCTACACACAGTTTAACAGTGGCTTCAGTTGACTGACAGGATCATGACTTTTCTTGACTATATTCGTGTATCTGAATTGCTATCTCTTTATGTGTATACTAGGAAAAACAACATCTCCACTTTGCAATAAGCTAGGAAAAATAACCAGCTATTATAAAAGTTAATAGAAGGGCCAGCGTTGTGGTAAAAGGAGGTTAAGCCACTGCCTGTAATGGCAACACTCCATATGGGCACCGGTTTGAGTCCCAGTTGCTCCACTTCCAATCTGGCTCCCTGCTAATGTGCCTAGAAAAGCAGCAGAGGATGTCCCAACTGGTTAGGCCGCTGTCAACCACATGGGAGACCTGGAAGAAGCTCCTGGCTTCAGCCTGGCCCAGTCATGGTAATTGTGGCCACTTGGGGAGTAAACCAGTGGATGGAAGGTTCCTCATTCTGTCTCTTCCTCTGACTTTCAAATAGAAAGTTTAAAAAAAGTTAATAGAAAAAAATCTAATCTCTACAGACTACATGTGACTTAAAATACCTAACAGAGTAACATACGAAAGATTAAGAACCAACTTCAATTATTGGGAATATTAAAGACATTTGAATAAACATCTATAGAAGGGGAAGAGGAAAATCATAAGCATGTTAATTCTGACTAAAGGAATTTATAAATCAAATATTATTATAATATCCCTAAGTAAAAATTTTTAGAAGCAGAAGTTTACAAGGTGATTTTAAATTCAAGTTTACAATGAAGTAGAGAACAATAGCTTAAACTACATCAAAAAAGAATAAACGAGGTTTAGGAATAGAACAGGAGTTGGCCAACTACAGCCAGCAGCTACAAGATTTTTTTTTATTTAAAAAATTTATTTATTTATATGAAACGCAAAGCAACAGAGAATGATGGGGGGAGAGGGCAGGGCTAGAGAAGGGTGGGGGAGAGAGAGAAAGAGAGAGATTCTATCTGCTGCTTCACTCCTAATGTAGCTCCAATAGCCAGGAACTCCATCCAGGTCTCCCACAAGGGTAGTAAGGGGCCAAAACACTTAGGCCATCTTTTACTGCCTTCCTAGGCACATTACCAGGAAGCAGTGTAGAAAGGACCTGGACCAGCACTCCAATATGGGATTCTGGCATCACAAGTGGCAGCTTAACCCACTATGCCACAAAGCCAGTCCCTGCTGCCAGAGTCTGAGGGAAATGGATACATCCAGTCACTTAGGAATTGCTCATAGTTGACTCTCTGAATTGAATAGGTGCAACAAAGACTATGTGGTCTGAAAGTCTAAAATATTTAATGCTTGGACCTTTACAGAAAATGTTTGCCAACTCCTGCAATGCACACTTCAACTATGCTGTCATAGCCATAGCCTCTTCTGAGGGAGATCATGGAGGAAGAGAAGTCAAATGTATGAGGCACCAGAGTACATCAGGTCTGTGAAAAGAAATCACGTTAAAACATTATTTGGGTAGCCAGCAAAGCCTGCAACGCTGGCATCCCATATGGGTGCTGGTTCAAGTCCCACCTGTTCCACTTCCAACCCAGCTCTTTGCTATGGCCTAGGAAATCAGTGAAAGATGGCCCAAGTCCTTGGGCCCTTGCACCCATGTGGGAGACCTGGAAGAAGCTCCTGGCTCCTGGCTTCCGATCGGCCATTTGGGGAGTGACTAGTGAATGGAAGAACTCTATTTCTCTCTGCCTCTGCCTCTCTGTAACTACCTTTCCAATAAATAAGTAAGTCTTTAAAAAAACTAATTTGAGGGGCATCAGTAAGGACACTCTTGGGATACCAGCATTCTAAATAGGAATGACTAGATGCAAGTCTTGTCTCCATTCCCAATCCAGCTTCCTGCTAATATGCCCGGGAGGGAGCAGATGATGACTCAAGTACTTGGGTCACTGCCAACCATGTGGGAGACTATGACTGAGTTCTAGTCTCCTGGCTTCAACTTGCCCCAGCACCAGGTATTGCGGTCATTTGGGGTGTGATTCAGCAGGTTGGAGGTGTTTGTCCATCTGACTTTCAAATACATTTTTTTACAAACCTTTTAAAAAGTCAGGGCAACAGCCAGCATTGTAGCACAATGGGTTAAGCTGATGAATATGATGCTAATGTCCCATATGACCACAGGTTCAAGTCACGGCTGCTCCAATTCCAATCCAGCTCTCTGTTAATGTGCCTGGGAAGGCAACAGAACCTAGATGCAGTTCCAGGTTCCTGGCTACTGCCTGGCACAGCCCCAGGTACTCTGGCCATTTGGAGAGTGAATCAGCACAGAAGATATTTCTTTGTGTGTATGCATGTATGTTTCCTTCTGTCTCTGTAACTCTGCCTTTCAAACAAATAAAATAAATCTATTAAAATGAAAGTTGTGGCAGATGTTTAGTAAAGCAGTTAAGAGGTCATTTGGGACACCCACATCACTTTTCAGAATGCCTGGGTTCAAGGTTCAAGTCCCAACCCTGATCCCAACTACAACTTTCTGATAACATGGAAGAGCAGGTGAGGACTCAGGGGTTGGGTCCCTGCCGCCTGTAGGAAACCTGGATTGAATTCCCAGCTCCTGGCTCTGGCCTGCCCAAGCCCTGGCTCGTGTGGGTGTTTGGGGTGTAAACCAGTGGATGACAGATCTTCCTTTGTTGTTCTCTCTCCCTTACAAACAAGTAAAAGAGTTTTTTAAAAAAATTTTGGTACAAAGAAATTCTAAAACCCATATTGGTTTTTTTAAAATAACTTTTTTCATAACTTTCTGAAGACTTCCTTATACTATAATCCACAAGTACCACAAGTAAGCAGAAGTTCAAGGATAGAGAAACAGTATTTGAGAAAGCCAAATAATAGCAGAAGAAACTGAACAGTGGTTAAAGAGCTTTAAAAACACTGCGCCTGTGGCCACCCCAAACCAACTATACAATCACAGTGGTTAGGTTTGTTCTGATAGCTCCCTAGGCGGTTCTCATTGGTGAAGAACCACTGGGCTAGGAGAAACAACAAATGAACAGTCAAAAGCAATGGCCCCAGAAAACTGGCTTTTGAACATACGCAGAGCTCTTTGAGTCCTGTTCCCATCCTCATTGAATCCGTACCTTCCACACTGTTCTTCATTTGTACATATAATAAGCATGAAAAGCATGGGACAAATAAAGCTAAGCTAGGCCAATTAAACTCTTACTCTAAAATTTGAGCATGAACTGTGAGAACAACCTAATTAGCAATGAAAGCTGACACTGAGCAACTTACCAAAGACAGGACAATTGGCAAAGGAGGTCATGAGGAAGCATGTCACAGACTGAACATTAGTATAACTCCTAAGTTATACAAATGCTGACCCTAGTGACCAATGTGATGATATCTGGGGGTATGGTCATTGTTAGGTGATTACTAGTACTGATATATAAAGGGACCCCAAACAATTCCCTCACCCCTTCTGTCATGCAAGGGCAGGCAAAGCAGGCCTTCACATCTGCTGACACCTTGATCCTGAACTTCCCAGCCTCTGGGACGCTGAGAAATAAATTTCTGTTTTTCATGAGCCAGTCTATGGTAACTTGTTGTAGCATCCCAGACAGACTAAGGCAAAAGTGAGAGATAACAAATAGATGATAAGGCAGGAGAACAAAAAGAGCTGAACTAAGTCAATGACATAGTAGAAAAGGCCCACACATTCCACTTGCTTAAATCTCTAGAGCAACCACGGACCCAGGCCCAGGCCACACTGCTCGAATGATTCTTATGAAATCCCAGTCTTCCTTACTGTTGTTATATGTGCATCTGTATGAGAAACATTTAGTATTTAAACTAAGCCTCTTTAGTTTCTTAAGACCAGAAATCCTACATAATTTAGAAAGTGATAAAAGGTTAGATTGCATGAACATACCATCAGCAGGGATGTGAAATATTATGATCTGGTTATTACCTGGGGGTGGGGTAGAGAGTGAGTATACCCCTTCCACAACCCAGGTTCAAAGATGTACAGCCCACAGTAACTATGGCAAAGCTCTTGTCACAAGACTGCAGCGTAAAAATACCTTTGCTGGACATGACAGTCAATTTTGGCACAATCCCTACAATAGAAAAATTTCAAGTGATCAAGGCGTAAAAACATCAGATAGGTTGGGGGCTTCTGAAACAGGCAGGTAAGTTTCTACAGTGGCTTCTGTCTACAGCATCTGTCTGTAATTCAGTATGCTTGATTGAGAGTTTTAACAGTGTAGGCAGAAGCATCTTTAGAAATGAGTATGTAAGATGAGGGGCACAGGTACTTAAGTGGTCAAGATGAGGATGCAAAAATATAATAGGAACACATATGAATCAACTGGCGGCTACACTCACAGACTGGCCTATGATAAACTGTCCCTCCCTGATGGTTTCTGAGGAACAGAGCACTATAAGGCTGGACTAGTCAGCAAAGATTTTTAGAATTTTAGATTATGGCTTGCCCCATCATCTAAAGCAGAATGTAACAGTTGTGGGACATATTATCCAAATGCTATGTCATTTTAACACTTAAAAAGTGACAACCCAAGCAGGAGCCACTGGAATTCTTACACTGAGGAATAAAGTCTGTGAAATGCAAAAACTAAGTCCTACTGCAGAGGGAGTTGAACCTGCAAGGACAGAATTGGGGAAAGTGAGGTGCAGCAAAGGACACTGAGGCAATAAGCAACGTTTAGTTGCAAGTAACTGAGAATCTGTGAGGAAGCAGAGGGCTAAAAAGCTTGGGTGCAAACTAAAGCTTAAGCGGACAATGAGGAAGGCAGGGAGGCAGAGACCCAGAGGAACTGAGGCATGTTAGAAGTAGCACACTAGATGAAAGACAGCAATCTTTGCTGCTGACCTTCCCAGAGCTGTCTTGCAACCATCTCCAATTCCAGAGAAAAAGCTAAAATTCCCTTTCAGGACATTTCCACTGTCTTCACTCAAATACAGAATCTTCTTCTACCCTGGGAGTTGGTTACACCTACTCTGGCTGATCTAAGATGGTAGTCTAAACCAAGTCTATCTCTTGACCATAGAAGAGCATACAAATACCAGAAACTGCTAACAGGATTTCAAGCCACTAAGAGTTTGCAGGTGGGCCGGCGCCATGGCGCAGTAGGTTAATCCTCTGCCTGCAGCGCCAGTATCCCATATGGGCACCTATTCTAGTCCAGGCTGCTCCTCTCTCTTCCAGTCCAGCTCTCTGCTGTGGCCCGGGAGGGCAGTTGAGGATGGCCCAAGTCCTTGGGCCCTGCAACTGCATTTGAGACCAGGAAGCAGCATCTGAATCCTGGCTTCGGACTGGCGCAGCTCCAGCCATTGCAGCCATTTGGGGAGTGAACCCACGAAAGGAAGACCTCCCTCTCTGTATCTCCCTCTCACTGTCTGTAACTCTACCTCTCAAAAAAATAAATAAAATCTTAAAAAAAAAAAAGTTTGCAGAAGGAGTTAACATTTCACAGTAGGGTGTAAGGAAATGAGAATCACCCCCCACTTAGTATAGCCATCAAAATGATAACAGCCCTTAGCAGTCCATGACAAGACTGTTAATTAGGCATTTAAAGGGTCAGAGATGGACCTAACAGACTAATTTTTTGTTAATGGCCAAGTAGTAAATATTTTTACCTTTATAGGATATATGGTCTGTCCTAAGTACTCTACTTAGCTACCATGGCACAAAAACAGCCATACACAACAAAGAATGAGAATGGCTGTGTTCCAATGGAACTTTATTCATGGACACTGAAATCTGAATTGTTTATAATTTCCATGTCATAAAATGCTATAATCCTTTTTATTTTTCTCAACTGTTAAAAATGTAAATACCAATTCTTTGTCGACTGGCTGAACAAAAACAAATGATGGCCCAGTTTTGGCCACTTCGCTGAACACTGATACACAGAACTAGAAGGCAGTAAATAGGGTCATATACTTCCTTTTCTCAGAAGATTCTGTATTTTAACATACGCAAGGATATTCTGATGGCTGTGGAAACTGCCTGATTAATGGAATATTCTTTATCTGCTTTTTTTAACCATCTAAAGCATCTTAAGTATACAGTTCAGCAGTATTAAATATATCAACATTGTTGTACAACAGATCTCCAGAACTTTGTCATCTTGCAAAACTGAAGCCCTACACCTAGTATACAACTCCCTATTTTCCCCCTTCCCCTAACTCCTGGAAAGACACCATTATACTACTTTCTATGAATTTGGGTTATGTACCTTCTGAAGCTACACCATACCATCATTTTGAGGCCAATTTCTGTTACTATCTAGAAGGCAGAGGTGAATACAGTAGGGATTATATACAAGAATACTATAACATGTTAAAGTGTTCTAGGCTATAAACATTAAGAAATATTTATCTGTCTGGCATCCACTTAGTAAAATTTACCTGTCACATCAGTTATGTGTATACCACATACAAAGGGAATTGCACAAAATTCCTACTTAATACATAGCCAAAGAAACTGTTTTCATTCATATGGCACCAAATCAAAGGACAAAGGAGTAAGCCAGACGTTTATGATATGATCTGAAGTGAAAAGCTCTAGACAAAAAGGATGAGCTGAGCCAAGGAGATCCTCTGGCTCCCAGGTACTTGAACTGTAGAACAAAGAATCAGGTAAACATCAGCCAAAGTTGAAGAAGAAAGTTTTTCCCCAAATAAAGAAACAGATATTAGGGATGCATAAGCTCAAATGGCCTGTCGACAAATAAACTACATATAAACAGGTGAGAAAAGTAGAATAAAGATTTTCAAAAACTGAAATACCATCCATAGAAGAGCACTATCTAGAACAATGAGTCTTATTCAAAACAGTATTCATGAGCAGTGTTGTGAAAATTTGTGGGGATTTTTTAGTTCTTATGATGATTGGGGTTATTAGACTTAGTGGAAAGCAGCTAGGGATTTAAGATATCCTGCAATGTAGCACAAAGTCCCTCAAAATAAAGAATGAAAATACACCACTTGACTCAACACAACTACAAATTAGTACCATGATACATAATAATGAAAACTTTGACAAGTAAAAGCTGCGTATCTGAGATATAAACAACTCAGTAATTCAAGATGTTGTTAGGAAAATGAAGCTAAAACACAATAGAAGCATTGGCACAGGCTTGTGCCAAATTGCAAATCGACTTCAAAAATGAAGTTCAGGCCAATGCCGCGGCTCAACAGACTAATCCTCCACCTAGCGGCACCGGCACACCGGGTTCTAGTCCCGGTCGGGGCGCCGGATTCTGTCCCGGTTGCCCCTCTTCCAGGCCAGCTCTCTGCTGTGGCCAGGGAGTGCAGTGGAGGATGGCCCAAGTCCTTGGGCCCTGCACCCCATGGGAGACCAGGAGAAGCACCTGGCTCCTGCCTTCGGATCAGCGCAGTGTGCCCGCCGCAGTCCACCGGCCACAGTGCACCGGCCCCGGTGGCCACTGGAGGGTGAACCAACGGCAAAGGAAGACCTTTCTCTCTGTCTCTCTGTCCACTCTGTCTGTCAAAAAAAAAAAAAAAAAGAGGTTCAATAGTAGGTACTCTTTACAGCAACACTGACAAATTTAGTTACAAGGAAGAGACAGTGAGAGGGTGAGAACTGGTAAGGCTTTTAAAGCTAGCTTCCTCAAATCCCTCACTAATCCTGAAAGGACTAGCCGACCAACTTCTTTAATTAGATTCTTCTGAAATAGCAGGTCAAAGTGGCTAGGCAGGTAACATCAAAAAAGTAAAACAGGCTAGCACACAATGTGATAAAGTAGATAGCAGAAGGTCCTTCCTTAAAATGAGCCTAGCACCACCTGGCCTCAGTGGAAATTTAGACCTAGTCTTCTGATATTTCAGGACAAAGTACCTTTCTATGTAAACTCATTTTAACTTGTAAATATGTAAAACTATCTTACCTTGTGATTTGCTAATCCCTGAGGGCCTAAAATAACAGTGTGCTCTCCCCGCTTCAAAATGCCATGAAACTGCCTTGCTAAATTTAGGGTATAGAAGTGGGGGGGGGGGGTCATCATGTTCCCAAATCTATATATAAAAACGGAAAAGACAGAGGCTGGGGCTTGACTCTTGAGACATGAGTCTAATCAAGCCTGCATGTGAAAATAAACTGTGTGCCTGCCATTTGATCTCTTTGGTCATTGTCCGTAACGACCTGATTCTAAAGAAATACCACGTGGGCCAAAAGAGACCAATCTACAGGAGGAATATAGTCTAGAGGAGGCCTGTTTCCTCACAATATCTCACCTGGTGTCTTGTGAAGTTGTTCACTCCACATTAAGAACTAAAATTGCACTGGAGCAAAGACATACTTACGAGAGCCTTTAAAAAGTTCATGGGAAGTACGTATTACGAAAAAACTATGCATGATTTCAAAAGCTTTTGCACCAAAAGAAACATCTTTTTTAACTCCATTTTTCCGTGAACTTTTGTTAAGGACTCTGATACATACATCCAGCTGTAACAAAAATTTCATAGAACAATACTTACCCTTTGTCAGATGGCGGCTTGATATCTGCCAGTTTTCTTATCTATGCTCTATCTTAAATCCATTTCGTTCTAACTTATACACCAGCATTCAAAATCATGGCCCACTTTTAAAGACTGCCCAAAGGAAGGAAACTGCCAAGCCACAAGCTGAGGTGAACAGCTAAGTGCCATATACCCATGTTTTATACCACATGGGAAACAAAGATATCATTACAAATAAGGTAAAATTCGGAAGAAGCAGACATTATGACGTAAGAAAAAGCCCTTACATACATATTCTGCTATTAAAGCAAAAAGCAACTGATGCAATTAAAAGCTGAGGCTACTCAGGCTTCCTGTAGGTGCCAGAAATCCCAGCAATCCCTAGGCCCACACTGAGCAATAAGCATCAAGAGCCTTCCCCTTTGAATGAGGCCTACACATTACAACTGACCACAACCCCAATACACTACTGTCCCCTTAAAAGTCAGTTGCCCTCATATTTGCACTCTTGCTTATATTTTAAAGAAATCTCCCTTCAAAGGGCTCTATCAAAGGTAAACAAAAGAGGGGAGAAAAACTGGTTTTAAGAAAAAAGGAAGAGAATGAATATAAGAACCATCTTATACATTTACCCCATCTGGATCCTGCAGGATTTTGCAATTACAACCCCTGAAACAAAGGATAGAGAAGTCAGTTGTTAGTGGATACACTGTAAGATATAAGAAGCAAGCAGACTAAAAACAATAAAGATTGAAATAAAAAAAAAAAATCCTGCAGAATACAAGAGTGAAGATCCACAAACTGTGGCTTGGTATACACACTAAACTGGATACCACAGGCCTAGTAAATCTGTGTTCTCAGGAACTGAAGCTGGGCTATCACAGGTAAACACAGTTAGCAAAAGATAACTAACCAAAGGTGAACGAATGCAATGCAGAGGAGAGGCCATGAGGGCCATAAGCAAGCAGAACTTATTTTAAAAGGAAGGAGAGGCAGTAAGTGGAACCTACAAATAAGCTCAAAATATGAGGTGATCAGAAAACAAAGTGCACTGGCAAGCCAATACATAATGGAAGAAACAGAAACTCAGTAGCTGAAGCAAATGGAAACACAGATGAAAGAACACACTACAGTCTATGTAACAGTCATGAAAAATTTAAGAGCAACTTGCAAGTAGGCATAGAAATCAGAAGCTATAAAAAGCAGGAACTCAGCAAAGGAAGACCTTTCTCTCTGTCTCTCTCTCTCACTGTCCACTCTGCCTGTCAAAAAAAATAAAAATAAAAATAAATAAAAAATTAAAAAAAAAAAAAAGCAGGAACTGTCCATCAGCAATAGGATAAATAGCCGAAAAGGAAGCGGTTAGCAGAAGGAAGAGAATCAGGATTTATGGAGAGCAGGGTTGCAGAGTTATCTATAAGACTGTTAAGTTCTACAGTCAGATATGAGACTTCTGGATGCCTTGGAAGTGATTTGATTGCCTTCCAATTTTAGAGCAATTAAATTATATTGAACATACTTACGGTAGTTTGCTAAAGGATCTTGAAAAACAGACATGTGTACACATGATGGTACTTCAAAAAGCTCATGAGAAATGGAATTAAAAGGTAACTTTATTATGGTGCAAAACATTCTGAAATCCGGCATATGGGTATTCAATCAATAAGGGGAAAGGTCCTAGATGTGTCATGCAGCTAGTATCACTCTTTGCAGTCTCAGGAAACTCAACAACCCACAGGGAATCAGATTCGCAATTTAATGACAATGGGGCAGCATAGTGAATGAATGGCAACAGCAAAAGCACTAAGTCTGCAGAGCGAGATGAGGTGGAATGGAAGCCACACAGATAGCGGTTGCAAAAGCTCAAGTTACGAGTGAGAAAAGAAAATTTAAGTATTTAGTAGCAAGGGAGCAGAGGAAGACAAGAGTATGAGAAAAGCAGTCTGTAGTAGAAGATAACATGCACAGCAACTAGAGAGATAAAGCTCCATCACGTTAATGATACGACACTAGAGTGGAGTTCCACAAACTTAATAAAATCGATCCAAATGAGCATCGTTCCTCACAATGAAATGTGGATTGCAAGGAACAGATCCTCAACAGGAATGTAGTTGTTTGGAACTGGTTATATGAGGACTGAAGCAACAAGGCAGACAGCCAAGCTAATCCCTTTCACACCCCAGCATATGCTATTATTAATGACATGCAACCCTGTTGCTCTCAGAAACTTAAAATTGCGAAAAATGGAAAACAAGTAATCAGTAACAAAGACTGGAGGTGAAAAAGTGCTCTAAGAGGCAGAGGGAGAATCAGGGGCCTGAACATGAGGAAGACCAGAGTAACTAAGCAGAACAGCATGAGGACACAAATCAGGTTTTAAGAGACTAACCCCACCCACTGATTTTTTTTGTCAAATACTTCCAAATGGAACACAGCACATTCCTTCAATTAGTATTGTCTACTGTCTCATGCCACAGTGGCAGAAACCAGAGCCACAAAACCTGACATACTATAAGAAAAAATTTGCCATCTCCTGTCAGTGGAAAGCATACAGAGTAGGGAAAAAACTGAGAGGATATTCAGAGAAACAGGAGCCGAGAGGGTATTTAAGTCACATTGAAAACAGAAGTCCATCACTGTGGCATAGTAGGATACAGTGCCGGCATCCCATACAGGCACCAGTTCGAGTCCTGGCTGCTCCACTTCCAATCTAGCTCCTTGTTAATATGCCTAGGAAGGCAGTGGAAGATGGCCAAAGTCTTCAGGCTCCTGCATCCATGTGGGAGACCTGGAAGAAGCCCTGGCTCCTGGCTTTGGATCGGCAAACTTCTGGCTGTTGCGGACATCTCGAGAGTGAACCAGCATGTGATAGTCCTCTCTATCTGCAATCTGCCTCTCAAATAAATAAATCTTTAATTTAAAAAGAAAAAAAAGAGAACAAACTGTGGAGAAAAGATTCTGGAAGCCCTTATTCTACGATCCTCACAAGTAGCCTTAATACAACCCCCTGAACCCTGGACTTGTAGAAAATCCAGTTACAGGGCCGGCTCTGTAGTGTAGTGGGTTAAGCCACCTCCTGTAGTGCCAGCATCCCATATGGGTGCCAGTTCGAGAGCCGGCAGCTCCACTTCCAATCCAGCTCTCTGCTATGGCCTGGGAAAGCAGTAGAAGATGGCCCAAGGCCTTGGGCCCCTACATCCGCATGGGAGACCAGGAAGATGTTCCTGGCTACTGGCTTCAGATTGGCGCAGCTCCAGCCATTGCTGCCAATTGGAGAGCGAACCAGCGGATGGAAGACCTCTCTCTCTCTCTGACTCTCCTTCCCTGTCTGTGTAACTCTGACTTTCAAATAAATAAGTAAATATTTAAAAAAAAATCAGTTACATACCACACACTAAAGAGATCAATAGAAAACATTAATTATTAATGGCATAAATGAATTATGAACCATGAGAAAACATTTTTATCTTTATCATGAAATGTAAATAGAAAATAATGATCCTTGGGCCCCAGTACCCATGTGGGAGATCTGGAAGAAGCCCCAGGCTCCTGGCTTCGGATAAGCCCAGCTTCGGCAGATGTGGCCATTTGAGGAGTGAACCAATGGTTGGAAGACCTCTCTCTCTCTGCCCCTGACTCTGTATCTTGGCCTTCTAAATAAATAAATCTTTAAAAAAAAAAAAGTAAATAAACTTGTAAAAAATTAATTTATAAGCCAAACTGAGAAAAATACCTACCACATGATAGATGAAAAATCAGTATGAGGAAGTAGGCATTTAGCCTAGCAGTTGAGATGCCACATCCCACATCAGAGTGACTGGGTGCCCTTTCCAACTCCAGCTTCCTGCTAATGCAGATCCTGGGAGGCAGTATGATGGCTCAATTAGTTGGTTTACTGCCACTCACTTGGGAGACCTGGATTGAGTTTCCAGCTCCTGGCTTCAGCCTGGCCCAGACTTTACCACTGTAGGCATTTCAGGAGTAAAACAGAAGGAAGTGCTGTCTCTCCCTTCTGTCTCTCAAACAAATCAATCAGCAACAGTATGAAAAACAAAAATAAGACTCAAGTAACATTTTGTAAAAAAAAAAAAAAAAATGTTTTTAAAGGCAGAAAGACATGGTGGGGTGGGAGGAGAGATAGAGAGAGAAAGATCTACCACATGTTGGTTCACACCCCAAATGTCCTCAATAGCATGAGCAGGACCAGGCCAAAGTCAAGAGCCCAGAACTTAACCCAGGTGTTCCATGTGGGTAGCAGGAACTTTAGAGCCCTTACCTGCTGCCTCCCAGAGCATGCATTAACATAGCAGGAAACTGAAACATGGGACTTCAACCCAGGTAACACAATATGGTTTGTACATGTGTTAACCACTAAACCAAATACTTGGCCCTGCAAAAAAGATTGTTATCTGTTCTATCTCTTTAGGAAATCAAAGAAATAAAAACTAAAATATAAAAATACATATGTATAAAACTATCTACAGGGTAATTCACTGTAAAACTACACACAATTAAAAGGGCCCTAATTGAAACAAAGTATCAGATACAAATTAAAGTTTTATAATCATGTAGGGTATATCATGTGCTAATTTTTTAAAAATTAAAGTTTATTTAATGAGATGGGGTATGTCTGAGATCTGCTCTGTTTTTAAAAGAGAAGGCAACAGGGGCTGGTGTTGGGGGCACAGTGGATTAAACCACCAGTATCCCATGATACAGCATCCCTTATCAGAGCCCTAGTTGCTTTGTTTCAGATCCAGCTCCCTTCTAATGTGCCAAAAACCCAATTAAGGGGTTGACATAGAAAATTAGCAAACCACAGCCTCCCACTTTGACTGTTAGGGCAGTGGTTATATCCAAAGTTAACTTCTATATTATATCCATTTATGAGCCTAACTAAGGTAGAAGACATGCTGGTGAGGAAGTGTCAGAGCTAACAATGCTAAGGAAAAAGCAAACAATGTAAAGATCACATCACTTGTAACCCATGCAAGGCAAAGACAGACCCAAGACAAAAAGAAGTTCCTCTCCAGAGATGGAAGTTAACATGGCCCATAAAGATTATACAAGAGGTCATCAAAAAGTTCATGAAAAACATGGATTATGAAAAAAAAAAAAGATGCAAAGATTTCACAATTTTTTGCAGCACAATAAACCGATTTTTAGCTCCTTTTCCCCATGAATTTCCTAAAGAACCACTGAATAGCACTCTGCCAGTCATGCACAGAAGACATGGATAACAAGATTTTGACTGATTCAAGCACAGCTGTGTTGTTATTGTGTTACACACATTGTGAATAAAATCATTCTGAATGTTTGATCTCTGAGTCTTTCTCTATAAAGTCCTTCAGGATGAACACAAGCATTTTCAGGGCCAGTGTGGCACAGCGAGTTAACGCCATGGCTTGAAGCGCTGCCATTCCATATGGGCGCCAGTTTGAGACCCGGTTGCTCCACTTGCGATCCAGCTCTCTGCTATGACCTGGGAAAGCAGTGGAAGATGGCCCAAGTCCTTGGGCCACTGCACCCACATGGGAGACCAGAAGCAGCTCCTGGCTCCTGGCTTTGAATCAGCACAGCTCCAGCCATTGTGGCCGATTGTGGAGTGAACCATCGGACAGAAGACCTCTCTCTCTCTGCTTCTCCTTCTCTCTGTGTAACTCCTTCAAATAAAATAGATAAATATCAAAAAAAAAAAAAAAAAAGCAAGCTTCTTCAAGAAACTCGTAGAAAATCCATATTAAGGAAAAGTATGCATAGATTTCAAAAAATTTCATATCAAAATAAACTTATCGTTTCATTCCTTTTTCCATAAACTTTTTGAAATGTCTTCATGCTAGAGAACAGGTGTCAGCACTGCTACAGCCCATAGGGCAAATTCAGCTTGCTGACTGCCCCTGTATATGCGATTTTCTCAGAACACAATCATGTCCCGTGGTTAACCCGGTGTCTGTTGCTGCTTTCACACTACAATAGCATAGCTGAGCAAAAACTACCCAGTCCTTTACCGAAAAAATTTGCTAGCCTCTGCCATAAAGCATACCTTCAAATAACAGTCAGCCAACTTATTAGGCCTAGCAGAAACCCCAGACCTAACAGAATGAGGGAAACTTACATTCCTCATTGTTTACCAAAATAGACTATTCCTATAAACGGGGTGGAGTAGTCAAGTCAGAATACTACATCATGATAGGACATGAGGGAGAAGATGTTAAGTAATCAAAACTAATAATGTCTATGGGGGCCGGTGCTGTGGTGTTAACAGGTAAAGGCACCACCTTCAGTGTCGGCAGCCCATGTGGGTGCTGGTTCAAGTCCCGGATGCTCCACTTCTGATCCAGCTCTCTGCTATGGCCTGGGAAAGGAGCAGAAGATGGCCCAAGTACTGGCTCGTGGCCTCAGCCTGGCCCAGACCCAGCTGCTGTAGGCATTTAAGGAGTGAATGAGCAGAAGGGAGCATGCTCTCAATCTTTCTCGTCCCCTACCAACTCAAATAATAAATAATAATCAAGTTTATTTTGGCTCAAAAAATACTGAACTGCATGTTTTTTCACAATGGGTATGTTCAATGAATTCTCTGAAGACCCTGATATGCATGTTTCAAAATTTTTATACTAATCTATTCTACTTTCCATGAACTTCCTAAAGTACCCTCAAATAATTTCCCATTTTATTGTGTTTTTCCTTTTATTCAGGATTCTCACAGGATATTCTGAAAACAAATGGTGAGGAACCAGCATTGTAGTGCAGCAGTATAAGCTGTTGGCTGGCATCTCACTGGAGCACTATATCAAGTCCAGCGGCTCCCCTTTCAATGTATTTTTCTGCTAATACACCTGAGAAGGCAGCAGAAAATGCCTCGAGTCGCTGGGCCCCTGAAATCCACGTGGGAGTTGTGAATGGAGTTCTTGGCTGTTGCTTTTAGCCTAGCCACGCCCTGGCCATGGCAGCCATCTGGGGGAGTGAACCAGCAGATGTCTGCCTTTCAAATAAATCTAAAAAAAAAAAAAAAGTGATATATCAAGAATACAAACAATATGCTATCTCGAAAACAAAAGACAGCCAGAAAGAAAGCAGGAAGGAGGGAGAGAGGGGAAGGGAGGAAGGGAATATTATACAAAAACTAATCAAAAATTAAAAAATTTTTTTGAAGAGGCAAAATTTTTTTTAACTAATGGTGAATTTAAAGATTTTATTTAGGGGCTGGCACTGTGGCATGATGGGTAAAACTGCCACCTGAGTGCCATCATCCATATAGGGTGCCGGTTCGAGTCCCAGCTGCTCTACTTCAGATCCAGCTATCTGTTATGATATGGGAAAACAGTAGAAGATGGTCCAATGGGGCCAGCGCTATAGTGTAGTACATAAAGCCACTGCCTGTAGTGCCAGCAACCCATATGGGTACCGGTTCGGGTCCTGGCTACTCTACTGCCTGAGAAAGCAGTAGAAGATGAGCCAAGTGTTTGCGCCCCTGCACCAACATGGAAGACCCAGAAGAAGCTCCAAGCTCCTGGCTTAGGATCAGCTCAGCTCCGGGCATTGCAGCCATTTGGGGAATGAACCAGCAGATGGAAGACCTCTCTGTCTGCCTCTGTTTCTCTGTAAGTCTGCCTTTAAATAAATAAATAATTTTTAAGATGAAAAAAGAAGTGTAATCAGGGGCTGGCGCTGTGGTATAGCAAGTAAAACTAACACCTTCAGTGCCAGCATTCCCTATGGGCACCAGTTCGAGTCCTGGCTGTTCCACTTCAATACAGCGCTCTGCTATGGTCTGGGAAAGCAACAGAAGATGACCCAAGTGTTTGGGCCCCTGCATAGGAGACCCAGAAGAAGCTTCAGGGTCCTAGCTTCAGATTGGCCCAGCTGCAGTCGTCGTTGCCATTTGGGGAGTGAACCAGTGGATGGAAGACGTGTGTGTGTGTGTGTGTGTGTCTCTCTCTGCCTCTGTTTCCCTGCCTTTTAAATACATACAAAAATCTGAAAAAAAAGAAGAAAATAAATGAAAACTAAATCTTTCTTTTTAAAAAAAAGTATAATCATTCACAGTACTTACCAACTTTTAGCGTAATAACTATCTATCTGGCCCGTCTCTGGAGCTCATATCAGAGTGTAGATCTGAATCCTAGTTATTTCACTTTTCATCCAACTTCCTGCTAATGCCCCTGGAAAGGCCGCAGAAGACGGCCCAAGTAATTGGGCCCTTGCCACCAGTGTGAGAGAACTGGATGACATTCCTGGTTCTTGGCTTGGGCCCGGCCCAACCCTGGCTGTTTTGGGCATTTAGGCAGTGGAACCAGGAGATGGAAGATCTCTCTGTTTCTCTTTCTCTCCATGTCTCGCTGCATTTCAAATAATTGTTTTCAAAGTCTATCGAGTTCCTGACTTTCCCAGAACCACAGGCACTCCCCAACTCTAAAAGACACAGAAAAGCAATGGGGACTCAATGATTCTAAACCTCCTCCGGGCCTCTGTCCATACTTTTTTTTTTTTTTTTAAGATTTCAGGTGCAGGGAGCCAATTAGTTAGGCTACCTTCCAGTGCCTTCCCAGGTACATAAACAGGGAGCAGCAGGAACTCAAGCCAGCACTCTGATATGTGATGCCAGTGTCCCAACTGGCATCCTAACACATTGCACTACAATGCTGCCATAGCAGCCATCTGGGGAGTGAAACAGCGGATAGAAGACTCCCCCCCCCCCCCCGCCTCAGCCTCTCTGTAACTATGCCTTTCAAATAAATAAATAAATCTAAAAAAAAAAAAAAAAAAAAAAGGCCGGCGCCGCGGCTCACTAGGCTAATCCTCCGCCTTGCGGCACCGGCACACCGGGTTCTAGTCCCGGTCGGGGTGCCGGTTTCTGTCCCAGTTGCCCCTCTTCCAGGCCAGCTCTCTGCTATGGCCAGGGAGTGCAGTGGAGGATGGCCTAAGTACTTGGGCCCTGCACCCCATGGGAGTCCAGGATAAGTACCTGGCTCCTGCCATCGGATCGGTGCGGTGCGCCGGCCGCAGCATGCCGGCCACGGCGGCCATTGGAGGGTGAACCAACGGCAAAGGAAGACCTTTCTCTCTGTCTCTCTCTCTCTCACTGTCCACTCTGCCTGTCAAAAATAAAAAATAAAAAAAATAATAAAAAAAAAAGAAAATGAACAAATATGGCTAACTTTGTATAAAAGAGAAAGAAAAAGGAGCTATTGAAGAAAGATGAGGAGACAAAGGCATTCCTCAACAGAACAGATAAAGAACCAAAGAACAGATCATTGCTATAAATACTCCCTTAGCTCTTAGTACCAGGAGAAAAAGTAAGAGTATCCATTCATCACTTGCTTCTTGGATCTAGTTAATATTATTTAATTAAAAAAAATTAGTCAAGATTTATTTATTAATTTTTTTGAAAGGCAGAGTTGCAGAGAGGTAGAGGTAGAGCTAGAGGTAGAGGTAGAGCTAAAGGTGGAGAGAGACAGAGAGAGGGAAAGAGAGAGAGAGAATCTTCCATCATGTGCTGGTTCACTCCCCAGATGGCCGCGAAGGCCGGAGATGCGAAGATCCAAAGCCAGGAGCCAGGAGTTTTCTCCAGGTCTCCCAGGAGGGTGCAGAACCCTAGCTAATTTTAAATATGCTAATCTATAAGGAATCTTCAAAAAGTATGTGGAAAATATGTATTATGAAAAAAACAGGGGCCGGCATTGTGGCGTAGCAGGTAAAGCCACCACCTGCACTGTGGGCATCCCATATGGGCGCCAGTTTGAGTCCCGGCTGCTCCACTTCCGTTCCAGCTCTCTGTTATGGCCTGGGAAAGCAGTAAAAGATGGCTCAGGTCCTTGGGCTCTTGCACACCCGTGGGAGATCCAGAAGATGCTCCCGGCTCCTGGAGTCGCATCCGCACAGCTCTGGCCGTTGCGGTCAATTGGGGAGTGAACCAGCAGATGGAAGACCTCTCTCTCTCTGCCACCCCTTCTTTGTGTAACCCTTTCAAGTAAATAAATAAATCTTTTAAAAAAAATACCATAAATGGTTTCAAAACATTTTTGTACCAAACTAAACATATCTTTTAATTCTATTTTATGTAAGCTTTTCAAAGTATTCTCACACTGAATTCTAATGACCTTGGTTCTGAAACCACAAATATAATATTTAAAATTAATGTTAGGGGCCAGCACTGTGGTGCAGCGGGTTAAGGCCCTGGCCTGAAGCACCGGCATCCCATATGAGCACCATTTCTAGTCCTGGCTGCTCCTCTTCCGATCCTGGGTAATCAGTAGACGATGGCCCAAGTCCTTGGGCCCCTGCACCCACGTGGGAGACCTGGAAGAAGCTCCTGGCTCCTGGCTTCGGTTCGGTGCAGCCCCATGCCGTTGCAGCCAGTTGGGGAGTGAACCAACAGATGTTAGACCTCTCTCTCTTTCTGCCTCTCCTTCTGTCTCTGTGTAACTCTGCCTTTCAAATAGATAAATAAATCTTAAAAAAATTAATGCTTAGGTATTAATTTTTAAAACCTAAAAGTAGGTATACAAAGAAGAAAAATTAGTGGATACAGTAAGACTAAAACTAGCACAGCTGTAAGATCACCTTTATTTCCAAAAATTATTTTCTGGTAGTAACCTTCAATTTTTATAAAAAACTTTTTTTTAAGATTTATTTATTTAAAAGGAGAGGCAGAGGAAGAGAGAAGTCTTCCATTCATTGGTTCACTCCCCAAATGGTCGCAAAGGCCAGGGCTGGGCCAGGCCAATGCCAGGAGCTTCTTCTGGGTCTCCCACATGGGTACAGGGGCCCAAAGACATGGGCCATCTTCTACTGCTTTCCAAGGCGATTAGCAGGGAACTGCATCAGATCTGGAGCAGCCAGGAATCAAAAGGGTACCCACATGGGATACTGGCACTGCAGGCAGTGGCTTAACCTGGTATGCCACAGCACTGCTCCTACAATCAACTGTTTACATGGATACAAGGGGCAAAAAAACGGGACTCAAGTATACTCCCATGCCATGGATAGATATCAATGTTGCTATGACAAAAAGACATTAAATTGTGGAAAAGAGAAATCAGAAACAAGATGTACATACTGTACATACGACAAACAGGAAAAGGGACAAAGTGGTGATGGAAAGAGAAATAAAAGTAACTTAAATAAGAGGCTGGCTCAAACAGAAAATCCTGTCCAGGATTAATAAAAAAGAATTTTTTTTCCATAAAATAAAATGCTTTCTACCCAGGGACTATAAGGGGCCACTTGTTATTTTTGTTTGTTTCATTTCTCATCAACTTGAAAACCAGGGCAACAGAGAAAGGTAGAAGACAGAGAAAGAGAAATGAGAGGGAAATCTTTCATCCACTGGTTTACTTCTCAAATGGTGGCAACAACCAGGGCTGGGCCAAGCTGAAGCAAGGAGCCCAGAACTCCATCTAGGTCTCCCACATCAGCAGCACAGGCCCAGGCAATTGGGCCATTTTATGCTGCCTTCCCAGGACTGTCAGCAGGAAAGTGGATTAGAACCAGAGTAGCCAGGACTCAAATCTGCACACCAGCATGCAAGGAGGGCATCACAGTTGGCAATTTAACCCACTGCATCACATGCTCACCCCACACCTGGTCTTTTTCTTTTTTAATCCAAGATCAATGTCTCTTTCCAGTCACCAAGACTTCCATAGCCTACTTCAGCTGGCTGTGGAGCCAGCTCTGTGGTGTAGCGGGTTAAGCCACCACCTGCAGTGCCGGCATCCTATACGGGCACCGGCATCCTATAAGGGCACTGGTTCCAGTCCCCCTCCATCTCCCCCCCTCACCGTCCCCAAAGGTCTTCCTTCCACTGGTTCACTCCCCAAATGGCCGCTACCATCAGAAGCTAGGAGCCAGGTGCATCTTCCTGGTCTCCCATGCGGGTGCAGGGGTAGCATTTTCATGGAATATCTTGTTCCATTTTTTTCATTTATTTATTTGAAAGTCAGAGTTACACAGAGAGAAAAGGAGAGAGCGAGTGAGAGAGACACAGAGAGAGAGAGAGAGAGAGAGAGAGAGAGAGAGAGAGAAGGAGGGCGGGAGGGAGGGAGGGGGAGAGAGAGGTCTTCCATCCACTGTTTCACTCCCCAACTGGCTGGAACTTCGCCATTCTAAAGCCAGGAGCCAGGGGCTTCTTCCAGGTCTTCCACGTGGGTACGGGGCCCAAGGACCTGGGCCATCTTACACTGCTTTCCCAGGCCACAGCAGAGAGCTGGATCAGAAGTGGAGCAGCCAGGACTTGAACTAGCACCCATATGGGATGCCGGAACTTGCAGGTGGCAGCTTTACCCGCTATGCCACAAAGCTGGCCTCAAAATTATTAGTATTTTTAAAAATATCTGTTAAGGATTTATTTATTTGAAAGGCAGAGCATCAGAAGAGAGAAGGTAAAGTAGAGAGAAATAGAGAAATATCTTCCATCTGCTAGTTCACTCCACAAATGGCCACAATAGCCAGGGCTGGGCCAGGCTGAAGCCAAGAGCCAGGAGCTTAATCTAGATCTCCCACATGGGTGGCAGGGACACAAGCATTTGGGCCATCCTTAGCTTAGCTGCCTTCCCAGGATTATTAGCAGGGAACAGGACTGGAAGCCAAGGAGCAGGGACAGGAACCAGCACTCTGATATGGGTGTGGCATTGCAAACACCAGTCCCCCCATTAGTTTTTTTAAAAAAAGAAAAAAAAGTGACACCTGGCCTAGTTTCTTTGAGCTTTAGGAATGATTTATTCCATAAAATTGTCAAGTGTTTCAATGAGAAAGTTCCTGGAAAGGGTATATGGCTGTCCTTAAAAGCATTACCAACTCACTCTTAAGTTACTGAGGGGGAAAAAAAGGGATGATCACTGCTGTCTGTAGCAAGCATGATTTGCCAAGAGTAGGGGAGGGAGAGTTGAGTATGGATAGGAGCTCAGAACTACCTCTGACCTCTGATCCCAGTTCAGGTACTGCACCTTGCCTTTCTATGCTTACTAAAGGCCAAACTCCAAAATTTCAAGAAAAAAGGAAACATCAATACCATTGAAATAGAAAATGCCACAAGAATTATGCTGTTGAATCCCAGCTCTGCCACTGATTAGAAGGTGACCTAGGTAAAGCTTCCAAGACTCATGTTTGAGATGGGGCTGGTAAGTGATTAGCATACAACTCTTAGGAGCACTTTTTTAAGGATTCAATGTACATAAGGTACATATGTGCTTGACACATGGCATAAAATAATCAAAAAGCTAAATGTTGCCTATTTCTCTAATAGAGGACTACAGAAAATTCACCTTCTAAGGCAGCATTTTTCCCCCCAGAAAGGTCAAGAAATCTGCAGAAGAGACAATGTACTAAAATTAGGTAAAGTCAAAGTTAGGAAACATCAGTTGTAACTATTTGGATACCAATGAATGGTTAAATTTCAGGCTGCTCCACCTCTTTTTTTTTTTTTTTTTTTTTTTTTGACGGGCAGAGTGGATAGTGAGAAACAGAGAGAAAGGTCTTGCTTTGCCGTTGGTTCACCCTCCAATGGCCGCCACCTTTCAAGTGGATGAACATAAACGTTTAGGGGAGAAAAATATGGGGGAAGAAGACTCGAGGAAACAGCAAACTTATCCTATGCCAGGAATTAACAAATTTGCTGTGGAAAGGCAAATGGTGATTCTAATTTTTTTTAAGTTTTTATATTTATGTACTTTGAAAGGCAAGAGTTACAGAGAGAGAGAAGAAAGAGAGAGAGAGAGAGAGGGAGGGAGGGAGGGAGGGAGGGAGGCAGATCATCCATCTGCTGGTTCACTCCCTAAATGGCTCTGCCAGACCAAAGCCAGGAGCCAGGAGCTTCTTCTGGGTGTCCTACATGGGTGCAGGAGCCCACGCACTTGGGCCATCTTCTACTGCTCTCTGAGGAGCGTTAGCAAGGAGCTGGGTCAGAAGTGGAGCAGCTGGGACTCAACCCATCACCCCATATATGGGATGCTGGCATGGCAAGCGGCATCTTTACCCGCTATGCCACAGTGCCAGCCTCGCGACTATAATTCTTAAAGACTGTGGACCCTAAGATCCATATTGCAACTATTCAACTATACTGCAGCACAGAAGCATGACTATGTTCCAACAAAATGCTATTTATAAAACCAGAAACTTTTACCACCTAGCTTGCCTGGAAACCATTTCAGTTCTTACCTTCAACAGTTTTTCTTATCTTTGGAAAAAGATACTGTACCATAAGTTGCAGGCTTTAAAAGTACTGGCCTGTCATGAGCTCTGGAAATGGCTTTTTTTTTTTTTTTTTGGACAGGCAGAGTGGACAGTGAGAGAGAGAGACAGAGAGAAAGGTCTTCCTTTGCCGTTGGTTCACCTTCCAATGGCCGCCACGGCCAGCGAGCTGCGCTGATCCGAAGGCAGGAGCCAGGTGCTTCTCCTGGTCTCCCATGGGGTGCAGGACCCAAGGACTTGGGCCATCCTCCACTGAACTCCCGGGCCACAGCAGAGAGCTGGCCTGGAAGAGGGGCAACCGGAAAAGAACCCGGCGCCCCGACCAGGACTAGAACCTGGTGTGCCAGCGCCGCTAGGAGGAGGATTAGCCTATTGAGCCGTGGCGCGGGCTGGAAATGGCATTTTTAAGAGCCTCCCTAATATGAGTCAGAGCAAAGTAAGCCTTTTATCCCCTACTTACCTTAACTACTGCATTACCTTAATCGTTCAGAAGTCACCACCTCTTCCACTGCACCATCACTCACATGAAGATCTGGTGGACTCTAAAACTTTTCAAAGATACCCTTCACAGTCCAACCTACTGAAGGTTACAAAAGGAAAATTATCATTTGCATATTCTATGACCTTCCTCACATGCAGCTTGGTCAGCCCCCATTGTTGACCACAACATTGAGAGACAATGGCAGGTACTAAAAGGGAGAATGGGAAGAAGAGAGAAGAACACAAGCTGTTCTTTTAGTTTAACCTAATCACATTTGATGCAATTTTTTTGCATTATAATGGGGAAAAATCCAACAAACATTCATAGTACATTATACATTTACTAGTTATGTATTCCTTTGTTCAAAGGAAGGCTGAAGTGCCACATCATGACTGTTTTTCCCTTCTCTTCTCTACCACCAACTAGGGAACCCACCCAAACCACGACAACTTACCAAGGCTTCTCCGATATCTCAACAACCCATACCTGTTAACAGTGATTCATCCTGGCTCTCCAGTGAACTCAGTATGAGTGACAGGTAGATCTTCATACAGTTCTTGACCCAGGAAAAGGTTTCTGGCTGCCCAGAAATCTGCATGTTTAAAGCACCCCAGGTGATTTTATGCATTACAAAAATTTATATCATTGAAATTTCCATCATCAGGACAATAAAACTAACTATGATACATATCTTCCAACGTAAAATAAAAATGGATTTCTGGTTCACATGGCCTGTTTGGATTAAGAAGCACTAAACAGAAGACACAGTACTGGCTTGGATTCAAATCCATTTGCTACACCAACTAGCTATCATGTTGAGCAATTTGCAACGTCTCCAATGCATAAAAATGGGAGAATGGGGGCCGGCATTGTAGCATAGCAGGTAAAGATGCTGTCTGCAACACAGACATCTCCTATGGGTAGTAGTTGGAGTCCTGGCTGCTCCATTTCAGATCCAGCTAATGTGCTTAGGAGAGCAGTGGAAGACGGTCCAAGTGCTTGGGCCCCTGTACCCACGTGGGAGACCTGGAAGAAGCTCCTGGCTCCTGGCTTTGGCAAGGCACAGCCCCAAATATTATGGCCATTTGGGGAATGAAACAGCAGATGGAAGATCTCTCTCTCTCTCTCTCTCTCAGCCTCCTGCCCCCTCTGACTCTAACTCTGCCTTTCAAATAAATAAATCCTTTTAAAAATGAGAGCATGGGAAAAGGAGAGGTTAGAGGTTAGGTTCTTTACACTATAATCTGTGTATTTTAAGATCTGTTCTCCTATCATAATGGGGCAAATATCAAGTGTAATTGCCTGGTGCCTATTAAGACACCACCTGCCCTGTTCCTTCCCACTAACTAGGCAAGTCCATCAAAGCCACTAACTACTCACCGAGAGTCCCCAATGACTTGATAACCTTTCTCAATTCTCTAGTAACCTCACTTGACCAGGCAGGGCTCTCAATATACCTCTTCACCAGTGGCATGGTTTCTGATTACATCTGGTGTCACCTGCAGGATAGAAGCAAGAACAACTGTAAGGTGGAACAGTCATGATTTGAGATGTAGCTGTAATCTTACTACCTTAGTCAAGTCATCTATGTGGCCACACCAAAGACTTCAGATTTCTGCTCCCATTTTAAATGGGATAACATGGTACAGAAAGTACCCAGTAACTATACCAAAGTGTTAGATAGAACTCAAATGTAACTCTGGGCTCAAGACCACGCCCTGTCATTTACAATTTCAACTCCCACCAGGACTCACCTTATGGTTAAGTGAAAAGAAACTTAACATGACCTGTTCCCTAACCTAGCTGTCTGGGCTATCAAACTGACCCTAAGGAGCTAGGCAGGCCAGTGGCTACTCCCCTACCCCTAAGTCACTAGGGAGCAGGCCTCTGAAATGCAAGACCACATAAGACAAGCTAAAAAGATACCCAAGGGTCTTTTCTTTGCAAGAAAGCAGACTCTGGCCTGCAAATTTCCTTGTTCCTAGCCATTCATCATAAAAAGAAACCCAGAAATCTGGCAGTTCAGCAATGGCCCAAAAAGCCCAGACTATTAACTGTTATCATTAGATTCTGACAAGGTTTCCTGTTACTCAGTGAGAATGCAGGTAACTCTCAACTCAAACCCCAGGATGAGCCAAGGAACAGTTTCCCAGGGCTCATTTTCAGCTGTTGAACCTATCACCAGTGAAAAAGTATCTGTCTTCTAATCTATTATGACCATGATACCAGGCAGCAAAGCTCTCCTACCATGGTGGGGGTGGGAGCCTGGTGCTACCTAGCAAGGGAGAGAAGCAGGAGCCTTGATAAATTCCATCTATCTCTTTCTTAGAGCAACTAAAGCCCCAAAACCGCCATATACTAGACCAAGATCTGCACACCCATAAGCAATAGCTGTCATCAGCACTTACTGTAGTTTATTAAAACCCAGAGGGAGCACTGACATTGTGGCGTGTCAGGTAAAGCTGCTACCTGCAACATGGGCATACCATATGCGTACCTGTTCAAGTCCCAGCTGCTCTACTTCTGATCCAGCTCCCTGAGAATGTTCCTGGGAAAGCAGCAGTAGATGCCCCTTGTGTTTGGGCCCCTGCTACCCATTTGGGAGATGCAGAACAATCTCCTGGCTCCTGGCTTCAGCCTGGCATAACCCAGACCATTGTGGCTATCTGGGAGTGAACCAGCAGATGAAATATCTCTCTGTGTGTCTCTCCCTCTCTGTAACTCTGTCAAATAAACAAATCTTAACCCCCCCCCCCCAAAAAAAAAAAAAGACCCAAAAGGACAAGGGTGAGAAGGGAATGTATAGTGTACAGGAGCTATTAGGAAATAAATATTAAAATATAAACCCTGACCCATGAAATACCTGCATTAAGGATCCAAGAATAGAAAAGGGGCAGTTGTAACCCCTCTGGCAGTGATCTTGGGACTGGCACTATGGTGCAGCAGGTTGGGCCACATCATGGGATGCCCACATCCTACATCAGAGTGCTGATTGCAGTCCTGGCTCTTCTGCTTCCAATCCAGCTTTCCTGCTAATATCTCCTGGGAGGCAGCAGACAATGGCTCACGTGCCACCCATGTGAGAGACCTGGATGGAGTACCAAGCTCCTGGATTCATCTTGGCACAGCCCTGGCTGTTCTAGGCATTTGGAATGAAGCAAAGATGTAAGATCTCTATACCCACTCCCTCCCCAGCCTTTCAAATAAATTTAAAAAAAAAAGTGATCTTAATTCTACCTCTCCTTTCCCTTACTCCACATCTAGCTCTTTCCCAAACTAAATTGTTGCATCTTCCAAGCCCTTCATCACTCCCATTGCCTCCACTTCCTTTCAGATCAACACAATTCAAAATGGAAATTAGTTTCAATATTTCTCTAACTTTAAACATACAAATGTACACCATAAAAAATGTTGAGGCCAGCACTGTAGCATAGCAGGTAAAGCCATTTCCTGCAGTGTCTGCATCCCATATGGATACCGGTTCAAGTCCCAGCTGCTCCACTTCCAATCCAGCTCCCTGCTAATGTGCCTGGGAAAGCAGAGGAAGATGGCCCAACTCCTTGGGCCCCTGTACCCCTGTGGAAGACCCGGAAGAAGCTCCTGGTTCCCAGCTTCAGATGGGCCCAGCTCCAGCGACTGCAGCCATTTGGGGAGTGAACCAACAGATGGAAGACCTCTCTCTCTCTCTCTCAGCTTCTCTGCCTATCAAATAAATAAATAAATCTTTTAAAAAAATAAAGCTTCAGAACTATATTCAGGACAGAAAGTAAAAAATCATTTAGAAGTCCTTAAAGTCTAACATTTTGGGTATGTTCATCTAACAACTTTCATGGACATGTACAAACAGGAATTCTTATTTTGCAAAAATTAGGTGAAACTACATTACTGCTCTGTAGCCTTTCTCAGTTAATACAGGAGGAGATTTAACTTATGTTCAAGCAAAAATAAAAATAAAAGATAATGGGGCTGGCACTGTGGCATGGTAGGCTAAGCCACCACCTGTGGACCTGATATACCATAGGGGCGTCAGTTCGTGTTCTGGCTGTTCCTCTTCCAATCCAGCTCTCTGCTTATGGCCTGGGAAAGCAGAAGATGCCCAAGTGCTTGGGCCCCTGCACCCACGTGGGAGACCTGGAAAAAGCTCCTGGCTCCTGGCTTCAGATCAACCCAGCACCAGCAGTTGCAGCCATTTGGGGAATGAATCAAGAGGATGGAAGACCTTTCTCTCTGTCTCTCCCTATCTGTAACTCTACCTCTCAAATATATAAATAAAATCTTTTAAAAAAAAAGAGAGATAATGTAGTGGCAAGTGCATGGCACAGCCATTATTAAGTCACCACTTAGAATGTCCATACCCCATATCAGAGTGCTGGCTGAAGTCTTGGCTATTCCACTTTCAATCTAGCTTCTCCAGATGATGACTCAAGTACTTGGATCACTGCCACTCAGAAAGGAGACAAGCTCCCTGGCTGCAGCCTAGCCCAGGCCTGGCTGTTGTGTGGATTTGCGGAGTGAACCATGTTTGGAAGATTTCTCTTTGTCCTTCTACCTTTCTTTTTAAGAAAAGGTTTATTTATTTTGGGGGGGGGGGGGATAGAGATCTCCTATCTGCTCGTTCACTCCCCAAATGGCCCTAAGGATCAGGACTGGCCCAGGCCAAAGCCAGGAGCATGGAACTCCAGCTAGTCTCCCAAGTGGGTGGCAGGAGCCCAAGCACTTCGTCCACCTTCCACTGCTTTCTCAAGTACATCAGCAGAGAGCTGGATTAGAAGTGGCGCAGCCCAGACTCAAACCAGAGTTCATATGGGATGTCAGCAAGGTGGATTAACCAGCTGGGGCACAACACTGTTCTCCCCACCCCCACCCCACCCCTCTGCCTTTCTAATAAAATGAAAATATATTTAAAAAAAGTTTTTAAAAGATATGAATATGGGGCTACTGTTGTGGTGCAGTAGGTAAAGTCACCCATATAGGCACTGGTCCGAGTCCTGGCTGCTCCACTTCTGATCCAACTTCCTGTTTATGACCTGACAAAAGCAGCACAGAGGACCCAACTGCTTAGAACCCTGCCACCCACTTGGGAGACCCAGATGGAGCTCCTGGTTCCTGGCTTCAGCTTGGCTCAGCCCAGCTCTTGCAGCTATCTGGGGGAGTGAGCCAGAGAATGGAAAAATCTGACTCAAATAACTAAAAATCTTTAAAAAAAAATTAAATCTTCCAGGAACTTTTTTTTTAGAAGATTTATTTATTTATTTGAAAGGCAGAGTTACAGAGAGGGAGAGGCAGAAGCAGAGAGGGAGAAGCCTTCCATTCACTGATTCATTCCCCAAATGGCCATAACGGCCAGGGTGGCTGGTCCAGGCCAGAGCCAGGAGCCAGGAGCCAGGAGCTTCTTCCGGATCCTCCCATGTGGGTGCAGGGGTTAAAGCACTTGGACCATCTTCTGCTACTTTCCCAACCACATTAGCAGGGAGTTGAATTGTAAGTGGAGCAACCGGTACTCAAACCAGTACCCGTATGAGATGCTGATGTCACAGGTGGCTGCTTTACCCACTATGTCACAGCACCAGGCCCCTTCTATGAACTTTTTGAAGCTCCTTTGAACTGCATACCTCTTTCCAAGTCAAATATTCATCTACAAGACTATTTTTGTTTTTAATAGCTATGTTGTATCATTACATGAATACATCAAAATTCATTTAACCAAATTCCTACTCATAAGCTGGTTATGTTTTTCCACTAATTATTGCTATTAACACTATGTACATGTCCATATCTAATCTTATAGAATATTATTAAGCATACATTTGGGGTGTATGCTTAAACCTTTACTAGGTGAATTACAAAGATGTGTAAAGACATGTCTCTACACTTGAATTTAAAGGGGGCAGACACAAGCAGGCAACATTAACCATTATCATGTCCATGATAAAACTAAAAAGAATTTCTGTTCATGACACATCCCTAATTCAATCTGTTGTCCTTGGGAACAGAAAGGTTCAAAAGAATACTACAAGATACTAATCCAAATTTAAAATCTATGTGCTAGAATTCCAAAGAGTTATGCTAATGGTAAATATCAGTTCATTGGCTTTTCAATGACTGTTGTTTCACCTTCATCATGTTTAAAAAAAAAAAAAAAAAAAACAGAATCAAGTGGAAACTGCTCAGAAACCTTGACCCAAAGTCAGAGAAATGAATGAAATACAGCGGACCTGGACTTCCACCTTAGCTTCCCTCTACTGTTTGCAGTAAACAACAGTGAAGTGAGTTGCTGTAGCCACTTTCTTTTAGAAACAAAATGACTTCTCTTCTGGGGACTCTCATTCCAGGGCAGATCTACTTATACATAGTTAGGCTTCAGTGGTACTCATGCTAAGTTGGAAGATACTTCTAAGCATCAGAAGAAACTTTTTCAACAACAATGTAAGTCAGATAAAGATAGATACAGATGAGATTAAAACAGATAATGATAGAAGTGTTTTTAAAACATAACAAAGATGAGTTAATGCAATAAAGCAAAAACGGTAAAAGTGTATTGTATTAATTATATAATCAACATGGAGGGCATATGGTGTGCCACTGTACAATTCTGTTTACTTTTCTGTATGCATGTTTGAAAACTTTTGTAATAAAATATTGGGAAAATCCAGCAAGCAGCCTGAAAAAATTAGGCTGTAAGGCCTTTCCCCTCACCTTACTCCTAGACTAGAATGATTCCTACCCAGTGTTCCCCCCTTTTTGCTTTTTTTAGATGTAGCTTTCTTGCATCTGACTTGGAGTTTTCTAACTTTTTAATGAAGTAAACTGAATCACAATGTACTCTTAAATCAGTTACCAAGATAGTGCACATAAGATGGGGGAGGCCAGAGGGGAAGGCTCTTAAAACTCTTGGAAATCCAGGCTCCCTACCTGTCCAAGTCTGACTAAGTGAATATTTCAGAAACCTCACTTTCTCACTTAAAAATCAGCATGAGGACTCCTATAAACATTCCCCTAGCCTCCCTTTCTTTTCTGCCTTATCCCAAATTAATTCCTTACTTCCCATATTGTCGTTGCAAAGAGCTGTGTAGGAAGGAAGAAGACAAGAAGAGAAGGCACCTAGCTGTGCTATGTCCAGTACTTCAAGTCAGGATATGATAAAAGGAATTTCTGCAGTTGAAAGTCAAAACCTGATATTGAAAGACACGATATAATTGACTGACTAGAACACTGGAAGAGGCCTCACAATCTCCTAGTTAAAAAGGTGTTCTAGCTGGCCCGTGTGTAAAACAGGAGAAAGACTAGTCATAAACAGGAAGGAATGAAGCACATAAACACAAGTCTCTGGGATGCTACAGAGACACAGAGACACAGAAACCCCTGGTGAATGCAGTGAGGACAGAAACCGTCACTGCTGAGTGCCGACCAAGAACAGGAGCAGCAGCAATCCTTTCCTACAAAGGCTCTGCAGGCCACAGCACGTCTGACGCAGCCATTCAAGTGGCGCCTGCCAAAGTATCAACCCAGTGAGCCTGGCTAGCTTCCAGTAGCACTTTATTCGTGAAAACAGGCTACAGTGCTTGCTCACCCCTGATCTAGAAGGCAGAGTCCCAGGTAGGAAGACTATCTGGAAGATGAGCTGGGGGAAGTGAACAGAGCCAACAGATGAGAACCGTTCCACAAACCCCAGGCCATGAGAATGAGGCTCCCGCTCTAGTGGTGCGTTAAGGAAGCGAGTGTCAGCAGCAGCAGCATCTGCAAAGACCAAGGACTGAAACCCAAACATGAAAAACAGCATTGTCTCATGAAAAACCCTTAAGATGAGTACACAACTGGAAGGAAATAGCAGGTTTCTGACCACATGCATTTTGAGGCAGGTTGACAGTCCAGAGCCTGTGGAGATCACTTTAGCAGGCACGCAATAAATGTTTGTTGATGAGTCACTCATTTATTCATCCAATAAACATTTACTGAGGCCTACTAATGTGCCAAGCTGGGCTCTGGAGATGAAGACATATCCCTGCCCTCAAGGAGCTCACAGTCTAGCTGATACGACAGGAAGACAGACAGGCATATACACAGACAATTACAATACAATCTGGTAAGTGCTGTAACACTTATCAGGTTGTATTATAATGGCCGATGTAAATTGCTTTCCAGGGGCTGCTGCTCCAAGTGCTGCTGGCTGGCTGTAACGTCAAAAGACGGGAGAAGAAATGGCAGACATTAAAGGTTAAATGCTTTCTAGCTATTTCTAATACCAAGGCTCTCCTGGATCACAGATGGCTTTGGGAACTACACACTGGTATGATCTTTTTTTTTTTTTTTTTTTTTTGACAGGCAGAGTTAGACAGTGAGAGAGACAGAAAGGTCTTCCTTTTCTGTTGGTTCACCCCCCCAAAAATGGCCGCTACAGCCAGCGCTGTGCTGATCCAAAGCCAGGAGCCAGGTGTCTTCTCCTGGTCTCCCACGTGGGTGCAGGGCCCAAGCACTTGGGCCATCCTCCTCTGCCTTCCTGGGCCACAGCAGAGAGCTGGACTGGAAGAGGAGCAACCAGGACAGAACCCCAACCGGGACTAGAACCTGGGGTGCCGGTGCCGCAGGCAGAGGATTAGCCTAGTGAGCCGTGGCACTGGCTTATGATGCATCTTAAGCATAGGATTGCTGAAGACGGGCCTTCAATAAGGACCTTCTCTACCACCTCCTTCTAAAACATGTGCGTTTCCTTTTTGCTTCTTCTCAACTGCCCCACCCCTCCATACACTTGAGCCTTGTTTAATATCTGTAGCTAGCAAAATGTTGAAAAATGGCAACTTACAACTTGATGGATTAACCCAGTGTGACTGTGCAGCAAAAGCAATTAAGTAATGGCTCATTTAGAACCTCTAAATCATGATCAATAATCCTCACTCTTCACTGAAAAAATAAAAATTAGAATGTTGTTAAATATTTTTTTTTTTTTTTTTTACAGGCAGAGGGGACAGTGAGAGAGAGAGAAAGAGAAAAGGTCTTCCTTTTGCCGTTGGTTCACCCTCCAATGGCCGCCGCTGCAGCCGGCGCACCGCGCTGATCCTGGCAGGAGCCAGGAGCCAGGTGCTTTTCCTGGTCTCCCATGGGGTGCAGGGCCCAAGCACCTGGGCCATCCTCCACTGCACTCCCTGGCCATAGCAGAGAGCTGGCCTGGAAGAGGGGCAACCGGGACAGAATCCGGCGCCCCAACCGGGACTAGAACCCGGTGTGCCGGCGCCGCAAGGTGGAGGATTAGCCTATTGAGCCACGGCGCCGGCAGAATGTTGTTAAATATAAAAGCAGAATACGCCACTCGTGGAATAAGTTAGAAGGGTTTATTTAATAAGCAAATTCTCTGGACCAGAAATAACAGAAGCCAGTTTCAGGAAACCAGAACAAGCCTCCTTCCCCAAAAGATCTTAAAGACTGTCTACCTCACCTGTATGTTATAAACAAGAAAAAACAATGGATGGGTATGAAACAGCAGTTAAGATGCCATTTGAGATGCTCGCATCTTATATTAGAATGCCTGGATTCCAATCCTTGATTCCAGCTTCCTGCTAATGCACATCTGGGAGGCACTTGGTGGTGGCTCACACAGGAGACCCAGACTGAGTTCTGGGCTACTGGCTTTAGCCAGGTCCAGGCCCAGCTGTTGTAGGAATGTGGGGAGTAAACCAGTGGATCTCTCTCCTTCTCTGCACATCCCTTTCAAATAAAATAAGTACAATTTTAATACTTATTTGGCTCAGATTTATATAAATATTTGTTTATTTATTTGAAGTACAGAGAGAGATCTTCCATCTGCTGGTTTAATTCCCAAATGGCCATGATGACCACAGCTGAGCCAGGATGAACCCAGGAACCTGGAACTCCATCTGGGTCTCCCATGCACGTGGCAAGAGCCCAAAAAAGCATTTGGGCCATCAGTCCTGCCTTTGCATGGGCACTAGCAAGGAGCTGCACTGGAAGCACAGCAATGCTGACCCCTGGTTTGGCCAGTTTTACACAAAAGTGAGATGGAGTATTTCTCTGTTCCATATCGTTCCTAGTAAGACCTAGATTGTGGCTGGTGCCGTGGCTCACTTGGCTAATCCTCCGCCTACGGCGCCAGCACCCTGGGATCTAGTCCTGATTGCTCCTCTTCCAGTCCAGCTCTCTGCTGTGGCCCAGGAAGGCAGTGGAGGATGGCCCAAGTGCTTGGGCCCTGCATGGGAGACCAGGAGAAAACACCTGGCTCCTGGCTTCGGATTGGTGCAGCGCCGGCCGTAGCAACCATTAGGGGAGTGAACCAAAGGAAGGAAGACCTTTCTCTCTGTCTCTCTCTCTCACTGTCTATAACTCTCTAACTCTCTAACTGTGCCTGGCAATAGTAAACAAAACAAAAAACTAGATTGTTATAGCTCTTGGTCTCTGCACCAGCAAATTGGGCTGATGACACCGGTCAATTATTGGTAGTTACATTGAGATAACTGTTTGGTTTCCAATGTCTCTATATGAGGTCAGTAATATTTTTTTTTAATTATTTCAAAGGTGGAATTACAGAGAGGCAGAGGCAGAGAGAGAGAGAAGACTCATCCACTGGTTCACTCCCTAAATGGCTACAATGGCTGGAGCTAGGCCAGGCTGAAGCGAGGAACCAGGACCTTCATCTGGGTCTCCCACATAGGGGCATCTTCCGATGATTTCTGAGGTACATTAGCAGGGAGCTGGATCCGAAGTGCAGCAGCCAGGACTCAAACCCGCACCAATGGGGGATGTGGCACTGCAGGCAGGGCTTAACTCAATACCCCACAGCACCAGCCCCAAGGTCAGCATTTTAAAAAAAAGGATTTGTTTATTTATTTAAAAGACAAGAATTACAGAGAAAGACAAGAGAACTCTCCCACATGGATATGGAAGCCCAAGCACTTGTACCATCGTCCACTGCTTTCCCCAGGGCATTAGCAGGGAGCTGGATGGGAAGTAGAGCAACTGGGACACAAATGGCGCCCATATGGGATGCCAGCGTCACAGGCAGCTTAACCCACTATACGAGCTCTGGGAACCAGTATTTTTTTAAGTTTATCATACCGATTTCCTTTAAAGTCATTATGCTGCTTTTGCCTACACTGTTCCATTCCTGCCAATTGTCAGCTCACTCAGGATGCCTTCTCCAGAGTATTGCAGTTTGTTCCTATTAACATTTCCCACCCCCAAAGCACTTGGTGTTATTTATTAATGTGGACCTTTCCCTGTTGGCCACATCCTTCGCTTAGATCACTTATAAATAAGATCAATCTCTGAACAGATCGGGAGGGAGACTACCGTTGTTTCTCATTTAAGTTGGTTGATTATTGGTAACCAAAGGTCAGCAGCACTCAAAAGTGCTTTCCTTTCAGGTAAGAAGAGGGACCAGCATTGTGGTACAACAGGTTACACCGCCACACAGGATGCCTACATCCCAATTGAAGTGGCAGTTCAAGTCCAAGCTACTCTGCTTCAGATCCAGCTTCCTGCTTATGCCTCCCAGAAGGCAGCAAAGGCCCAGAGTGCATGAGTCCCTACCACCCACAGGGGAGACTCAAATGAAGTTCTTACCTTCTGGCTTCAGCCTGGCCTAGCCCCAGCTGTTGCAAGCATTTGGGGAATGAACCAGAAGATGGAAGATAAATCTATCAGTATCTCTCTCCCTGTCACTGTCCCTTTCAAGTAACTGAAAATAAACATTTAAAAAATAAATAAATTGTTGGGACTGGCATTGTGGTGTAGCAGCATCCCATGTGAGTGCCAGTTCAAGTCCCTGCTACTCCGCTTCTGGTCCAGCTCCCTGGTAATGCGCTTGGGAAAGCAGCACAGGATGGCCCAGGTGCTTGGGCCCCTGCACCCCCGTATCCAGAGGAGGGTCTTGGCTTCGGCCTGGTCTCATCCTGGTGGTTGCGATGGAAGACCTCTAGCTCTGCGTTTAAAAGCAAACAAAAAGAAATTAAAGAAAGAGAAACAAAATGTTAGAAATAAATAAAATGCTATCTATTTAAAGGATCGGCAAATGCTATCTCAAAATGGCAACACAGAAATTGACATGTATCCCACACAGCAACTGTCTTTGGAATCACAAGTTTCTTCAGCGGCCGCCGCCTGCAGTGTTGGCATTCTATAGGTGCTGGTTCGAGTCCCAGCTGCTCCACTTTTGATCCGGCTCTGTGCTATGGCCTGGGAAAGCAGTAGAAGATGGTCTAAGTCCTTGGGCCCCTGCACCCACTTGGGAGACCCGGAGGAAGCTCCTTGCTCCTGGCTTCAGATCAGCGTAGCTCAAACCGTTGCATACATCTGGGGAGTGAACCAGCGGATGGAAGACCTCTCTCTCTGCCTCTCCTCTCTCTGTATAACTCTTTCAAATAAATAAATAAATCTTAAAAAAAATAAAAGAAAAGAAGCTCCTGGCTCCTGGCTTCAGATCAACTCAGCTCTGGCCCTGCCATTTGGGGAATAAACCAGAGGCTGAAGACTCACTCCCTCTCTCTTTCTCTCTCTCTCTGGCTCTACCTCTCTATAACTCTGTCTTTCAAATAAATCCTTAAAAAAAAAAAAAAAAGTTTCTTCAGATTCACTGTCACCATATACCAAGAGTGGTACTGGCATCATTGTACAGTGGGTTAAGCTACCACCTGTGACACTGGCATCCCATACAGGAGGCACCAGTTTAAGTCTTGTGATCCTACTCCCTGCTAATGCACCTGAGAAAGCAGCAGCAGATGGCCCAAGCAACTGGGCCTCTGACACCACGTGGGAGACACATACCCAAGCTCCTGACTTCAGCCTGGCCCAGCCCCAGCAGCTGTGGCCATTTGTAAACCAACAGACACAAGATCTCTTTCTCTCCCTCTCCCTCTTTCTCTGTTAACTCTGCCTTTCAAATAAAATAAATCTTTAAAAAAAAATTAAAAAACCAGGAGTGTATTTACAACAAATGACATTTATCATTTACAAATAAGTAACATTCAGGCCCAAATCCAATAACTCACAAAAGGAAAAGCTAGTAATATCTGAAAGTCCAGCCACACCAAATCAGAGAAATGTTTCATAAAACAAAGTTATTATTTTACATGTGAAGTTAGCAAGAACAGAAAACATTTTTAATATCTAAATGGGTGAAAAAAACTGACATAGTATTTTGGAAAGCTATTATGGCAACTCTATAATGTTCAAATCTTTTGACAATTCTAATTATGGAATTCTATAAGGAAATAATCCAAAACAGATTTAAAAATTCATCATAATTTAAAATACTAAAAATCTATAAAATGTTTCTATACAGAGTACCATAAAAGCATTAAATGACAATTACAAAGAAGGTCTAACATGGAAATACACATGTTATAATGTTAAACACAAAATGCAATATAAAAATAGTACATATATAATATATAATCAACTGAATAGAAAAATGCAGAGAATGAAAAGAAATGAACAAATTTATTAACACTAATGATCTCTGGTTGTAAAATTACGGATCACTTTTCTCCACAGTTGGTGGTTATCCTCAGACAAAGCTACAGTGAATATTTATCCAATTTCTAGATGGAAGAGCTGTTCAAATGTAAACAATGCAAAATAATTCACAAAATAGAAAACAAACTGGTCATGATTTCAGAGCCATGCTAATCAAAAACTGAAAAATAAAAATTAAAAGGCAAACAATAACCTCCAGTAGGCATTTACAACATACTACAAGAGTCTGAGGGATAGCCTTTATTATTGCTAGTATAATAAACACTAAACTTAAAACTCTAACAAATAAATCAATAAGAACTACCATCACATGAAAGAAACAAAATTGTTGAGACACATATGAAGGAAAAAAGAACCCAAACTCACTATTATCCATGAAATGAAAAAAAAAAAAAAAAAAACAATAGTGGCTTTTATCCATAAAAATACTTTTTTACAAAAAAACAGTACTTAGTGCTTATGTTGAGTACAACTTGGTACAATCTTTTTAGGAAGAACTTGGCAATACATAATGAGTGTCAAAAATGTTCATAACCTTTGATGTACATAATAATTCCATGTCAATGAAGGTACCCTAACCAAATAATACATGCATTGTTCATGCTTTATTCCAAAAAAAAAAAAGAAAAGGCAACAACCTCTCCCTTACTCTTGGACATTTGGGCCAACCTGCCAAAATATTAATAATACGTTAAAAAAAATTCTCTACTGCACCAAGTGACTGGTTGCCTCAAAGCATTACACCAGATGGCAAATAAGGCAAAACAAGAAGGGTGTGTCTAGCCTTCTGCAAGTCAGCCATTTTAGACCATCTGCAGAACAAAAAACAGGCAAGAGCAGAACAGATAAGGACAGCCACCCTACTAGGCTCCAAATCAACAATTCTCTCCAACCCTGTACTATGAGCTGAGACAAAAGCAAGAAGTAGGTCTCTTTTCTTAAGTGGTTTAGGTAAATAAACACAACTCATAAAGGATGGGTTAAGCATAGTGCTTTAAGAGCACAGGATTCTGGAACCATACTACCAGGATAAAAATCCAGTCTCAGCCATTCAACTGGCTGTGATGCTTTGAGCAAATTACTTAATCCATGTCCTTCAAATCTCTCATCTGTGAAAAATATAACAGTACTTCTATTTCATAGGTTATCGAGAGTACTAAATAAATTATGAAATCTGTAAAAGACCACTACCTGGCACATAGCTTAGTATACAGAGATGTAAGTATGATTGTTATTGTTACAGAAAAAGAAGGCCCAGAGAAGGCAAAAAGACTTGCATGAGATCACAACTAGGATTACTGCACAAGAATGGTCTCCTCATGTCTTCAATCCTGCACCCTTTCTACTCAATATCTATACCTAAGATTAAATTATTGGTTTTAGCGATTAATAACAGATCCTCATTGGCAGCCCTCAGAGATCCATCCAAGCGCAGTGGCCTAAAAGAAAAAAAAAAAAAAAAGGAAAGGAAAGAAAAACTCCAATCCTAATCCTCCCCCCTGAACTGTGCTAAAATAATTAAAGGGGCGTAAGCCCGGGTCCCCTTCATACCACCATTACCATGAACTGTCTTCATTCCCAGGCAGTTATTTGCCCAAATCGCAGGTCTAATGTGTACAAAGCATTTGGAAATACAGCCGAATCTTCACTACGTTCTCAAGGGCAGAAAACCTACAGCTTTCGGCCAACACAACAGAAGATTCTCACACGGCAATCACTGTGTCCTGCTACTCTAATGGGATTAAAGTGTCCAGAGCCAAGTACTGCGGCCCAAGATCAGCGAGCCAGATACGGTGAGACCTCCGAGCGCGTACTGCCCAAATGTGGCCAGTTTCCCAAGTGCTGACATTTTACGCATTTCCTACACACAGCCAGCGGTTGCAACCTTTTACCCAGTCTTCGCCGAGTTGTTTTTTAAACCCCCATTATCGATAGGCCAGCAAGAAGGTAAATTCTGGGCTACGGTCTCGGCGATTTGGCCACAGCCGAGGGCAAGTCCAACTCAGGCTAATCCCTTTACACCACTAAAAACATAGATCGCATCTCCGCAAGGCCCTCCTAACCCAAGATGGCCAAACCACTTACCTAGCCCCGCGCCATTTTGCGACCTTTATTACGCATGCGCTGCGCGCCTCCTCCGACTGCCAGTCGTTCCGTCAGAAATACGCATGCGTGCCTCTCCCTCCCTACCGCAGAACCCGTCACCATGTTGTCTCCAGTACGCATGCGCGCCTTCACCCTCCCTCCTAACCGCGGGCACCGATTTCTAGCAACTTGGCTTTCTTAAGTGCGCATGCGTGTCTTTCCCTTTTAGCCCCTCCCCCGCACAGAAGCCTCGCGTTTGCTTCGCTCGCTCCCCCGCCACAGAGCCCCCTACTCTCTCATCAGGCCTTCTCGAAAATACTGGAGCGCCGCCCCTCGGCACCCCATTTCCCCACTTCTCCGTCCAGCCTCTCAAATACCGTACGCACTGCGCCAGTCCTTTCTCGTTCACTCCCATCCCGCAACGAGCTCCGCAGTTTTATACATACACACATATACACACACACACACACACACACACACGCCTGATATGTGCACGTGTTTCTTCCAGTGTTGTACCTCAGTACCCAAGTATACTCATTACCAGCCTTTCCTAATTTGGGGAGATGTGATAAATTACGGAAGCTGCATACGCGAAGAAGGCGCTGCAGGAACATATCCCAGATCTACATAGGATCTACGCTGATGCCAAAGGAGGGGATAAAAGATTAGATTCCCGTAATCAGATCCGCCAACCTGAACGGGGCGAAGAAAGCTCTCATAAACCATGATGAGCCTAATCCTAAGACATTGCCCTTTAAATACACCTGTTACAAATGAGGAACCTCAGATTTTCTTTTAAACAGGGATCGTTACGGAAAATACCAATGCTCAGGTAACTTAACCCTGGTTAGGAGTCTGCATCCCTTTCAGAATAAGCATTGCCCAATAACCCTTTTGAAGGGCGAAGACCCTTACTGCCTCCCCCTCCCTTTTTTTTTCTCCCCTCCGGAGAACCGAAAAATTGTACAAATTAACGGACTCTCAGGCCCGAGTTCCCTCCGCAGCCCTCCATGTTATATTCTTCCCCTGCGTCGTTCGTTTACCTCCTTGCTGAATCAAGTGTCGAAGTCGTACCAGGAATTCCTAGAGCCGGCCGTCCTAAGAAAGGGTAAAAGCGGCGGAACAGAGAGGGGTGCCGGGGAGGCAGCAGCAGGCCCAGCCGTGCCCTCAGCCGCAGCACTGAGGCCAGAGAAGGACAGCCTCTTGGAGCGCCGCAGTGTGCCTCTGGCGCATGCGCCGCGAATGCCCCCCTCCCCCCGCTCAACCCCTACCCCCCACTTCCATCCCCTCCAGGCTCTCCCAGTCTAACCTTTAGAAGTCGGCCAGAGACTGCCATCCCTTCCCCAGGGATCAGGTCCCTAGCCCACCCTGCTTCTTCCACCTTCCTTCCCTTCGCCTGGGACATAATAACCTCCACCACAGTCCCTTGATTCTATTATCCCCCTTCCATTCTTCGTAGACTACCATTCCGTTGCCAAGTCTCCCTGTTGGAAACCTTTACTCCCCCTGTTGTTCTTGGGGGTCGATCTTCAAATTCTTGGGTTTCCTGCCCTTCTGCAGCTTGGCTGGACTTCCTACTCCTCTCCTCCTGTGCCCAATGTTGCAGATTGCATATTAAAACAAAAAACAAGCACACACACACAAAAACCATTAGATGCACACAATCTTCTCCCAAGCCGCTTTCAGGCTGGGCCCAACCAGTGAGCTTTTGACAAACAAAACCCCTTATTATGATCACCCACAGAGAAGACAGGGGAAACAAAAGACCCCTAGGAGCAAACACTGCAAGGATGTTCAATTATTTTAATTATTTTGACGAGAGAAGCACAGTGCCATCAACACGCAAGAGTTTTCTTCACAACCCTGGTATTGTGTGCATATTAAAAATACTGTTCAGGATCCTTCACTGCTAACTACAAGGCTTGTTCCTGTCTTCTGTGAGAACTGAAAGACTAATTTTGAAAGAAGTGACATCATTTATTCAAGAAGCTCTGAAATAGATTCTTCTTTGGATATGAGGAAGAGAAAATAAAAAGCAAAATTTTGTTTATCTTCAGGTATATTTTACTTTGGTATCTAGTTCTTCCTTTCTAAGAAAGCCAGTTTGAAAATAACAAAAACTGAGACCCATAAATCCTGAGATTCAGAAATTTAGTCATATTAACTCATTAAGAATGTCATATTAAGATTATTCAGAGAAATAAGGAAAGTTCGCATTTTTATATCATATGCACAAAAACATGGTACAACAATACGCATGTGCAGGTAAAAAAAGAGAAATAGAAATACATGAAGCTTTAGTATTGTGATGAATCGCTCTCCTAAATTAAAATAAAGACTTATGTTACACAAAATTTAAAATATAAGACAAGAGAATTTTACCCAGAGCTCTACAATACTACTGTATCAAATGCTTTTATTTCTTTGTGCTCTCTTTTTTAACAGTTTTATTGAGATATAATTCACTTACCATACCATTTACCAACTTGAAGTGTACAGTGCAATGGATTTTAGCATATTCAAGGTGGTGCAACCGTGACCGCAGTGAATTTTGGAATATTTTCATCACCCCCAATAGGAATTTCACACCCACTAGCATTGTCTTAGTCTGTTTTGACTAAGACAGATATAACAAAATACCATGGAATAGGCAATTTATAAAGAACAGAAAAACTTCCCTGATCTACTGTGATCTAATCTGAAAGAAAGCCAAGAGGCACAATCCTCTGCCTGTGACACCGGCACCCCGGGTTCTAGTCCCAGTTGGGGCGCTGGATTCTGTCCCGGTTGCTCCTCTTCCAGTCAAGCTCTTTGCTGTGGCCTGGGAGTGCAGTGGAGGATGGCCCAGGTGCTTGGACCCTGCACCCGCATGGGAGACCAGGAAGAAGCATCTGGCTCCTGGCTTCAGATCAGCACAGCGCTGGCCGTAGCAGCCACTTGGGGGATGAACCAACGGAAAAAGGAAGACCTTTCTCTCCGTCTCTCTCTCACTAACTCTGCCTGTCAAAAAAAAAAAAAAAAAAGAAGAAGAAGAAGAAAATGGGTTTCTTTACTATATACTTAGGTTAACATTCTGAGGCTATTTCCCTCTTTTTTTTTTTTTTTTTTTTTTTTTGTTAATTTGACAGATAGAGTTAGTGAGAGAGAGAGACAGAGGTCTTCCTTCCATTGGTTCACCCCCCAAATGGCTGCCACAGCTGGAACTACGCCGATCTGAAGCCAGGAGCCAGGTGCTTCTCCTGGTCTCCCATGCAGGTGCAGGGCACAAAGACTTGGGCCATCCTCCACTGTACTCCCGGGCCACAGCAGAGAGCTGGACTGGAAGAGGAGCAACCAGGACTAGAACCTGGCACCCATATGGGATGCTGGCGCCCATATGGGATGTCTGTGCCGCAGCTGGAAGATTAGCCAAGTGAGCCACGGTGCCAGCCTTCTCTATTTCCCTCATTTTCTTCCATCCTATACTCATTTCTGAGGAAACTGGCCCTCTTATAGGTTGTGAGGGTTAATTTTTATGTGGCAACTCTACTGGGCCACAGCACCAAGATATTTGATCATACATTATTCTGGATAGTTCTGTGACTGCTCAGAGATGAGCTTAACTTTAAAATCAGAAGACTGGGGTTGGCATTGTGGCACAGCAGGTTAAGCTGCCACTTGCAATATCTAAACATACAGAGTGCCAGTTCAAGTCCCTACTACTCCCTACTCTCAATCCAGCTTCCTATGCTAATGCACCTGGGAGGCATGGGTTCCTGCCACCCATGTAGGAGACCTAGATGGCGTTCCTGGTTCCTGGCTTCATTCTGGCCCAGCCTTGGCTTTTGTGGGCACTTGGGGAGTAAACCAGCAGATGCAAAATTTTTATGAAAGTGTAGGCCTGAGCCAGGCTGAAGCCAGGAGCCAGGAGCTTCTTCTAGGTCTCCCACATGGGAGTCATCACCTTCTGCCTCCCAGGGTGTGCATTAGCAGGAAGCTGGATTTGGAGGCAGAGCCAGGACTGAAATCCAGGCACATCAATCTGGGATGCCAGTGTCCCAAGCAATGACTTAACCACTGTGCCAAACTCTTGCTCCAGTATTTCTATACCCTAGTAATGAACAATCAGAAAATGAAATGAAGAAAATAATTCCACTTAAAATAGCCTCAAAAATAATGAAATACGGGGGCCGGCACCGTGGCTCACTTGGTTAATCCTCCGCCTGTGGCGCTGGCATCCCATATGGGCGCCGGGTTCTAGTCCCGGTTGCTCCTCTTCCAGTCCAGCTCTCTGCTGTGGCCTGGGAAGGCAGTGGAGGATGGCCCAAGTGCTTGGGCCCCTGCACCCGCATGGGAGACCAGGAAGAAGCACCTGGCTCCTGGCTCCTGACTTCAGATTGGTGCAGTGCCGACCATAGCGGCCATTTGGGGAGTGAACCAACGGAGGGAAGACCTTTCTCTCTGTCTCCCTCTCTCACTGTCTATCTGTCAAATAAAAATAAATAAATAAGAACAGGACTCTTTAAAAAATAATGAAATAAAAAAAATTTAGCAAAAGAAGTGCAAGACTTGTATACCGAAAACTATAAAGTGACATTGTAAATAAAGATCTAAGGGGCCGGCATTGTGGCATTGCAGGTAACACATGTGGGCACTGGTTCGAGTCCCGGCTGCTCTAGTTCCGATCTAGCTCCCTGTCAAAGATCCTGGGAAAGCAGCAGAGATGGTCCAAGTGCTTAGGCCTATGCATCCACTTGGGAGATGTGGAAGAAACTCCTGGCTCCTGCCTTAGGACTGGCCCAACCATGACCATTGCTGCCATTTAGGGAGTGAACCAGCAGATGGAAGAACTCTCTCTGTCTGTCTCTGCCTCTCTCTCTCAGTAACTCTGCCTTTCAAACAAATAATTAAATATATATATAAAGATCTACATAAATAAAACATCATCCTTTATTCATAACTTTAATTATTTTCAGGATAACAATAGTCCCCAAATTAATCCGCAACTTCCACAATCCTTATCAAATCCACAGTTGCCTTTTTTGCAGAAACTTACAAGCAGATTCTAAAATTCATATGGAAATGCAAGGGACTCAGAGTAGTCATGACAAAAGAGCAAAGTTGGAGGCTTCACTCTTCCCAACTTCAAAACATATCACAAAGCTGCAGGAATCAGAATCCTATACTACTGGTATAAGGATAAACACACAGATCTATAAAATACAATTTAGACAACTATATGAGCCTATGCTACTGGTATAGGATAAACACACACATCTATAAAATACAATTTAGATAACTATATGAGCCTATACTGCTGGTATAAGCATAAACACACAGATCTATAAAATACAATTTAGATAACTATATGAGCCTATGCTACTGGTATAAGGATAAACACACAGATCTATAAAATACAATTTAGATAACTATATGAGAAACTAAGAAAATCACAGTAACTCCAGGACACATAAAACCTGGGCAGGTAATCAAGTGATGATGTGGTGGGCATTTGGTACAATGTTAAACTACCATTGGACATCACTTCCCATATTGGAGTGCCTGGGTTCCAGTACTGATCACACTCCCCATTCCAGCCTCCTGATAATGCAGATCCTGAGAGGCAGCAAATGTTGGCTCGAGAGTCCTTGCCATCCATGTGGACACTCTGAATTGAGTTCCCACTTCCTGGCTTCAGCCTGGCCCAGACCTGGATGTTGCAAGCCTTTGGGGAGTGAATCAGTAGATAGGAGAGCGCTCTGTGTGTGTGTGTGTGTACGCGCATGTGTGTGCCTCTACCTTTCAAATTAAAAAAGGAGGCAGGGGAGTCAAAGCATTCTCTAACTTGCTCAGTCCTGAGTAGTGTTTACAAGTACTAATTATGTAAATATTGAATTTATTTGAGCTTATTTTTATTTATATAGCAGGCCAAGCTGCTCTACAACTCCCTCCTTAAACGTTCAATGTTGACCAAACCAATATTAAGTAAAGGGGATGGGGAGCTATTGAGAATAGAATGGAGAACTCAAACTGGGAAAGTGAATGTGGTGGGTGGTAAAAGCTAAATGAGGGTGGGCATTGTGCCACAGTGAGTTAAGCCACTGCTTGGGGCACCCGTAACCCGTAATCCATATCAGAGTTTTGGTTCAAGTCCCAGCTCTTTCACTTCCAATCCAGTTTCCTGCTAACTCATCCTGGGAAGCAGCAGATCCTGGCTCAATTGCTTAGGCCTCTGCCACCTACAAGGGCTTCTGCCTGGTCAAGCTCAGAATAATTGCAGGCATTTACGGAGTCAATCAACAGAAGGACTCATTCTCTCTCTCTCTCTCTCTCTCTCTGTGCTTTTCAAGTAGATGAAAATAAACTTTAAAAAAAAATAGCTAAATGCTCATCTTCCAGAATACAAAAACATAAATAATATCTAATTTGAAATATCAATAAGTCATAAGGTAAACATCTTATTTATAATTATAACTTTAAATCAGTATGTTTCAAACTGTGATCTGGCAATCTTTTAGTGGGTTAAGAAATCAATTTAATTTTAATGGGTCACCACTAGCCAATTTTTACAACATAAATACAAAACATCCTCATGCATTGTGCACATTAAGAGTAGATTTTTTAAAACTTATTCCAGTTTTACACACACACACACAGGCACCCACACACATCCTCTATTGTAATATAAAACATGTCATCTTATCTCAATCAGATCGGTTTGAAAATCACTGCTTTTTTGTTTTTTAAAGATTTATATGAGAACTGGCACTGTGGCGTAGTGGGTAAAGCCACCACCTGCAGTGCTGGCATTCCATATGGGCTCTGGTTGGAGTCCCAGCTGCTCTACTTCCGATCCAACTCTCTGCTATGGCCTGGGAAAGCAGTAGAAGATGGCCCAAGCCCTTGGGCCCCTGCACCCATGTGGGAGTCCCGGAGGAATCTCCTGGGTCCTGGCTTCAGATCAGCGCAGCTCTGGCTGTTGCAGCTAATTGGGGAGCAAACCAGCGGATGTAAGTCCTCTCTCGCTCTCTCTCTGCCTCTGCCTCTCTGGAATTCTTCCTTTCAAATAAATAAATAAATATTTAAAAATAAATAAATAAAAAGATCATTGCTTCTTAGTCATCATCGTTAAGCACCAATTCTAAGTTTGTAAAAAAAAAAAAAAGATTTATAGTTTTATTGGAAGGTGGAATTACAGAGGCGGAGGATGGGGAGGGAGAGAGAGCTCTTCCATCTGCTGGTTCAATCCCCAAACAGCCACTATAGCTGGAGCTGGGCCCATCTGAAGCCAAGAGCCAGGAGTTTCTTTCAGGTCTTCCATGCGGGTTCAGAGGCCCAAACACTTGGGTCATTTTCTTCTGCTTTCTCAGGCCATACTAGAGAGCTGGATTGAAGAGGAGCACCTGGGACTCGAACCAGTGTCCATATGGGGTGCAGGCACCGCAGGCGGAGGCTTAGCATACCACACCAAAGCACCGGCCTTGAAAATCACTGCTTTAAACTATGAGCATACAAAGCTTTGATAAAATGTAAGCCCAAAGGGAGATTTCAACATGATAATTAATAACATTAATTTAATGACGATATACCAAATTTTGAAATACTCAGGCAAATTTTTGCCCTTTGGTACAATTTATGCAGTACTACTTCATTGTATAGGAATAAATCTAATTTCTTTACACTGTACTGTAAGAAATGAGTTTTACTCCTAAATGGGGAGTGAGATTTGCTCAAGCTTTGTGGCTTTTTTTGTTACTCTTTGAAAACATTTTTCATTGTGGTTATATTATGGAGCCAGTTACAAATTCCAATCAACTCATGTTAAAAAATAAAGACCAACTGCTCTATATAACATTCTTACCTCTGTGTTTTATCAAATGTATTTGTGCTGGCTGCCTGCAAAAAAAAAAAAAAAAAAAATCACATGCAGACCATATAGCTAGCTCACTGTTAACTTAAAGAAAAAGATATGTTAGATTTTTTTAAATTACAAAATCTAAATTCATTTCAAAAATTGGAAAATACAGAAAAGAGACTCCATATTCAGTCACGTAACTTCAAGATGACTACTGTAAATATTTCAATGTTAATTTTTATACTATATCTATATAAATGTACACATTCGTAGATCTGTGTTGAGGTTTATAGAAGATGTAAACAATTGGGAAAACAAGAAAGGAAATCTCTCCAACATTTCAAAGTTTCTGGTTTTTTCATTAATGTTATTTTCCAAGTGATTGCAGTTTCAGTACATAAATGCTTCAATCTTTCTATGTTGTACAGCTTAAATGGTGGTGATTATGTTGAAAGCTAAGATTCAAACAATAAAATAGGCTAAGCAGTGAGTAAATCATCTCACTTTGGCATTTAACATATTTTCTCTGTCTTATGTATCTCATATCTTTTGAAAATATTTTTATTTTTTAAAATTTATTTTGAAAGAGAGCAAGCTCCCAACCATTGGTTCACTCCATAAAGCCCACAGGAGCTGGGACTGGAGGACAGGAAGTCAGCAATCAGAAATTCCATCTGGGACTTCCATGTTAGTGGCAAAGACCCAAGTACTTGAGCCTCATCTCAGGGTCCGAAGTAGCAAGGAGCTAAAATCAGAAGTGGAGCCGGGACTCGAACTTTGTGCAAGAAGACCTGGTATCTGGGAACCCCAGCCATGTTCCAACCACTGCAGGAAACAATGGATCTTGTATCTCTTATGTTTATGCACACTTGTATTTTATTCTTTAAAACAATAACCAAAAAAAAAAAAAAAAGGTTATTCCAATTTATTTGCTTTGCACACTGGGTTAGATAGTCCTCACCCATTCTTTTCTTTTGTCCACAGAGCACATATAAAAACGGATCACCTATGAACTAGACCACAGAGGAAGCCTAAAGACATAAGGACAAGTACTGCAGATCACATTTGCTGAGCAAGATAGTTTTCAGACTCAAATTTAAGAACCGGAGGGTTGAAAGATTATTGGACTTGGGGCATTTACTAGGGCGACGGGCAGAGGGGGATGGGCAGCGTGGCGAGTGAAGGGGGCCGTGCGCAAAACTTGCATGCCAGCTATAGGGAGCCTTGCGCAAACCTTGCCTGACAGCCGTGCGCAAACCCTTTGTGACGTCACCAAGGCCCCCTAGAGTAAAGCAGCCATTTCTTCCTAAGCCAACCATAAGGACAGTAGCCTCGGGGCCTCCGGGCGGCGGTGGCGATTTACCGGAAGATCTCGCCACAACATCTCACCGCAACCAGCAGCCATGAGCAATAAGGAATGCTTCAAGTGTGGACGCTCTGGTCACTGGGCCCGGGGGTGCCCAAGAAAAGAAGCCCGATCGCAAGGAAGTAGAGGCCGTGGCAGAGCCATTCCGGGGACATCCGCCATGCAAGCTGACATCTGTTACCGCTGTGGTGAATCTGGTCATCATGCTAAAAACTGTGATCGCCTCCAAGACATCTGCTACAACTGTGGAAAAACTGGCCACATCGCCAAAGATTGTCTAGAGCCTAAACGCGAGAGAGAGCAGTACTGTTACACCTGCGGCCGACAGGGTCATCTGGCTCGCGATTGCACCCATCTTGAAGAGCAGAAATGCTACTCTTGCGGCGAATTTGGACACTTCCAGAAGGAATGCACCCAAGTCAAGTGCTACCGATGTGGAGAGACCGGACACGTGGCCATCAACTGTAAAAAGGCAAAGCAAGTCAACTGTTATCGGTGCGGCGAGTTTGGACATCTAGCCCGAGAGTGTGATAACGAGATGGCTTCCGATTAACTTTTGTCCAACTTTTGTCCTACTTTTGTCCTTTGCGCCCCTTCCCCCTTCCATCCCTTTTGCTGACTAATAATGGTATTATTTTCTCTGAAATCCTTTCACTGACCAAGAAGTTGATAGATGTGGTTTATCCTTGGGCTAGCCACCTTCAATTACTATGCTAAAGAAGGAAAAGGCTAGAAAGAAGAAAAAAAAACTTCAAGAAATGTTACCATAAGTAATGTATTACTTCTACACCATGGTTGAATCCAGTTGTTGGATAGTCATAGTCATTGTGAGAACTAGACAGTTTCTGGGTTCTTGGGGTGTATTTTGATTTAACACCTTTAATTAAGAGCCATTGTATGCCAGACTCTAAGGAAAGACTTGGAAATGTGTCAGTGAACAAATCAGAACAAGTTGGGGAATACCAGCCTAGACCCTATTAATGAGTAAAGCGCAAAGTGTGTCAGAAAAAGCACATCAAGCAAAAGGATAGATATGGGGAATGTGTATGTGGAGGGGGAGAGAAGAATATGGTTCTCTTTTAAAAACTTAAGAACACCCTGAGGAATGTTCCTCAGAGATCCATTTGTAGTGCAAATAAAGCTGATTCTAAAAGTCTCTTTGACTTTGTCAACTGTATTATATTTATAGCTTTGGATTATGCAACACCCTCCCCTTAGGTTTTAAATATTATTGAGTGACTGGTGTTCTGTTGCAGCGGGTTAAGCTGTCATTTGCAATGCCAGCATCCCATATCTGAGCACTGGTTGGAGTCCCAGCTGCTCCGTTTCTGATCTAACTCCCTGCTAATGCACCTAGGAAAGCAGCAGAAGATGGCCCAAGTGCTTGAGCCCCTGCTACCTGTAAGGGTGCCACGAAACACACCAAACACTGGAGTTAGAGGAAAGGTTTATTGACAGGTGGGGGAAGTCTGATGGGCCGGGGGTGGCGGGTTGGGGGAGAGGGTAAGAGAGAGGAGGGGAGCATAAGAGAGATCAAGAGAGAGCACAAGTCTGGGAACAGGTCCTCTTAAACCTTTGCTGGGGGGGTGGGCAGGGAAGTAGGAGCAGTGAATCCCGTTAGGGTAGGGGTGGAGCCGACACCTGTGGTTGGGCCATGTGGTCACCTGGCTTCAAGCAATGGCAGCGGGGGCCAGAGCCCAAGATGGTGTCTGAGACATAGATGGCTTCTCAGATAAGACTGTGCCATTTTACTAACACTACCCAAATGGGAGACCAGGATGGAATTCCAGGCTCCTAGCTTTGGCCTGACCCAGTCCCAGACATTGCAGCCATTTGGGAGTGAAGAAGCAGATGGAAGCTATTTCTCTCTCTCTTTTTCTCTCTCTATCACTCTTATTTGATGGCAGAGTTACAGAGAGGCAGAGGCAGAGAGAGAGAGAGAAAGAAAAGTCTTCCATCTGCTGTTTCACTCCCCAATTGGCTGCAAAAGCCTGAACTGTGTCAATCCGAAGCCAGGAGCCAGGAGCCTCTTCTGGGTCTCCCATGTGGGTACAGGGGCCCAAGGACTTGGGCCATCTTCTACTGCTTTCCCAGGCCATAGCAGAGAGCTGGATTAGAAGTGGAGTAGCTGGGACTCGAACTGGTGCCCATATGGGATGCTGGCATCACAGGCAGAGGCTGAGCCTATTATACTACAGCACTGGCCCGGAATCTATTTTTTAAAACCAGATCTAAAAAACAACGGAACTTCTATAAAATTCTAAAAATCACTTGTAAACTCCAAATAAAACCCAGGGTGGGGAGGGTTAACTATTGTGTAAAGAGAAAATTGAAGTTGAAATGGGAAAAAGTTTAGAAAATAATAACAATGGCAATATTACATGTCAAACCTGGGATATGATGGAATTTATAGCAATAAGACTAGTGCAGGAGGGATAATCTTTGACTCATAAACTCAAATAGTCAAGAAATGTAACATTTTATAATAGAAGCCTCATGCTTACAGGGGCCTTCATAAGAGTGGCTCTGTAACCCTTCATTTCCATCTGAAAGATCCTTGTAGTTCAGTTCAGTTCCTTTTGACTTCTAGAATTCTTTTGGGCCTTCAGACATTGATTTTTGTCACTTTCTGTGCCATCTCCGCAAGATAAACTCAGACACACACTCAGCCCCTAAATAAGACAATCTCAACCTAATCTGCCAAGACACAACATGAAACTCGGACATCACACCAAACTGGACACAATCGCGGGTCTCATCCCCATGCTGGACTCCACTTAGGAAAAGAGGAACGGCGGATTCTGCATTTAAATCCCCAAAAGTCATCTGGAGTTTCATTTGCCATGAGCTGAGGAGGAGCTTGTCCTTCTATTAAGAACACATTCAATATTTAAGTCCGCATTTCGTCTCTCTGGGCAATCATTTCTGTTCACAGGGGAAGGAAAGCCTTATTTTGACTTATCAATATCCTCAATATGCTTGAAAATATAAAATGGTAGGCTTCTTACTGAATCAGGTTTGCAAATGTATTTAGTTTGATCTATACATTATTTAACAATATTTGTGAATTAGATGGCACCTTTGAAAAAGGAAAACTTACCACATTTTAAAAAATGCTCACTTTTAATCTCTCTGGAACAAAGGAGTCCCAGATGTTACACTTCCTTTTTTTTTTTTTTTAATTTTTCTTTTTTTTTTTTTTTTTGACAGGCAGAGTGGACAGTGAGAGAGAGACAGAGAGAAAGGTCTTCCTTTGCCGTTGGTTCACCCTCCAATGGCCGCCGCTGCAGCCGGCGCACCGCGCTGATCCTGGCAGGAGCCAGGAGCCAGGTGCTTTTCCTGGTCTCCCATGGGGTGCAGGGCCCAAGCACCTGGGCCATCCTCCACTGCACTCCCTGGCCATAGCAGAGAGCTGGCCTGGAAGAGGGGCAACCGGGACAGAATCCGGCGCCCCGACCGGGACTAGAACCCGGTGTGCCGGCGCCGCAAGGTGGAGGATTAGCCTATTGAGCCACGGCGCCGGCTCTAATTTTTCTTTTCTTTTTTTTTTTTTTTTTTAATTTATTTGACAGGTAGAGTTATAGACAGTGAGAGGAAGAGACAGAGAAAGGTCTTCCTTCCGTTGGTTCACTCCCCAAATGGCCGCTACAGCCAGTGCTGCGCTGATCCGATGGCAGGAGCCAGGTGTCTTCTCCTGGTCTCCTATGTGGGTGCAGGGGCCCAAGCACTTGGGCCATCCTCCACTGCACTCCCGGGCCACAGCAGAGAGCTGGACTGGAAGAGGAGCAACTGGGACTAGAACCCGGTGCCTATATGGGATGCTGGTGCCACAGGCGGAGGATTAACCAAGTGAGCCATGGTGCCAGCCCCAGATGCTCTACTTCCAATCCAGCTCCCTATTAATGCACCTGGGAAATGTGCAGATGATGACACAAGTGCTTGGGCCCCTGCATCCACGTGGGGTACCCAGATGGAGTTCCTGGCTTTTTGGCCTGGTCCAGCCCTGGCTGTTGTGGCCATTTGAGGAGTGAACCAGCAGATGGAAGGTCTCCGTCTTCCTCAACCCAGGTCATTTTGCCTTCAAATAAGTTAATTAATTTTTAAAATCTTTATGAGATAATGGACTTAAAAAATAATCAATAATTTAAATATAAAAGAAGGAAGGAGGGAAGGAAGGAAGATCAGATGAAAGACACATCCAACAAATTATCAGACGAATGTCTCCCAAAACTGTCCGGGTCATTGACAACAAGGGAAATGTCATAATTGTGACAGGAAAAAAAAAATGAGTCTCAAAAGACATGACAGGGCCTGAGATGTGGCACAGCAGGTTAAGCCACCACTTATAATGTCAGCATCTCATATAAGTACTGGCTTGAGTCCCAGCTGCTCCACTTCTGATCCATCTTCCTTCAAATACACCTGGGAAAACAATGTAAGCTGGCCCAAGTACTTGAATCTCTGCCACCCATGTGGGAGACCCACATGGAGTTCTAGGTTCTTGGCTTTGGCCTAGCCCAGCCACAGCCACAGCAGTCATTTGGGGAGTGACCAAGCAGATGAAAGATCTCTGTCTCCCTCTCTGTCACACTACCTTTTGAATAAGGAAATAAATCTTCCAAAAATAAATAAATACATATATATACCTTGCTGCAACTAGAAACCGTGTTATAACAGGTTGTTTATTGACATAGAAATTAAAGAAAAATGATCAGGGGCTGGCACTGTGTCATAGTGGGTAAAGCCACCGCCTGCAATGCTGGAATCCCATATGGGTGCCAGTTTGAGTCCTGGCTGCTCCACTTCTGATCCAGCCCTCTGCTATGGCCTGGAAAAGCAGTAGAAGATGGCCCAAGTCCTTGGGCCCCTGCACCAGCATGGGAGATCTGGAAGAAGTTCCTGACTCCTGGCTTCAGATCAGCCCAGCTATGGACTTTGTGGCCATTTGGGGAGTGAACCAGTAAATGAAAGACTTCTCTCTCTCTGTCTGCCTTTGCTTCTCTGTAACTCTGTCTTTCCAATAAATAAATGAATCTTACAAAGAAAAGAAAAGAGCCAGCGCCGTGGCTCACTAGGCTAATCCTCCGCCTTGAGGCGCCGGCACACCGGGTTCTAGTCCCGGTTGGGGCGCCGGATTCTGTCCTGGTTGCCCCTCTTCCAGGCCAGCTCTCTGCTGTGGCCAGGGAGTGCAGTGGAGGATGGCCCAAGTGCTTGGGCCCTGCACCCCATGGGAGACCAGGATAAGTACCTGGCTCCTGCCTTCGGATCAGCACGGTGAACCAACGGCAAAGGAAGACCTTTCTCTCTGTCTCTCTCTCACTGTCCACTCTGCCTGTCAAAAAAAAAAGAAAATAAAAATAATAAAAAAAAAAAAAGAAAAGAAAGAAAAGAAAAATGGTCAGGCTGCTAAATACTGTACAAAGCATAACAAACTATGAATACTATAATAAGTAACTTTTGTCTCTCATAAAAGCTCACAGCAGAGCTGGCATTTGGCACAGTGGTTAAGTTGCTGCTTAGAATGCCCACATTCTTTTTTTTTTTTTTTTTTTTCTTTTTTGAGGCAGAGTGGACAGTGAGAGAGAGAGACAGAGAGAAAGGTCTTCCTTCCTTTTCTGTTGGTTCACCCCACAATGGCCTCTGCGGCCGGTGCACTGCTGCCAGTGCACCGCGCTGATCCAAAGCCAGGAGCCAGGTGCTTCTCCTGGTCTCCCATGGGGTGCAGGGACCCAAGCACTTGGGCCATCCTCCACTGCACTCCCGGGCCACAGCAGAGAGCTGGATTGGAAGAAAGGAGCAACTGGGACAGAATCCGGCGCCCCAACTGGGACTAGAACCCGGGGTGCCAGCACCACAGGCGGAGGATTAGCCTAGTGAGCCGCGGTGCAGGCCAGAATGCCCACATTCTATATTGGAGTGCTTGATTAGGGCCCTAGTTCCTCCATTTCTGATCCAATTTCCTGCTAATTTTTACCCTGGGAGGTAGCAGATGATGGCTCAGGTATTCGGATCCCTGCCACCCAAATGGGAGACCCAGATGGAATTCTGGGCTCCTGGATTCAACCTGGTCCAGCCCTGGCTATTGTGGACATTTGGAGAGTGAACCCAGAAGACAGATGGAAGATCTCCACCTGTCTCTTTTTCTCTGCCTTTTAA